TTGAATATAAGTTTTTTGTTTTTTTTTAAATAATTTTGACAAATTAGGGGAGATGGTGATTTTTTATTTTTTTTTACCATGGAAAATGTGGACCTTTCCGGGTAATTTCTGGGTGAGTGTACGTACGCACCCGCCTCCCACCCCTGCACTGGCCTGCAAATCAAACTACTGGTCCGTCTTGCGTATAAAACAAGGCTTATGCTCGCAAATTAATCATGATCTTATACGAGCCACACGAGCGACATAGGCCTACAGTAAATGTTTGCCTTCTCTAAGGATCGTAAAGTAACACAATTAGAATGACTACTGAAATTGACTTTTGGCTCAAATGAATGCAAATACTATATTCAATTTTCAATTAAGTTTTAAATGTTAAAAAATCAACTTTAACAAGCTAGGCCTTCTTGTTGTAATGTCGATGCTTCTAAAGGAGCGCTCTATTTATGCCGCGGCGGTCGAACAGGGGTCGTCTTATAGTCTTGACATACACAAATTTAAAAAAATTTAAAAATAAAAACCTCTTTCCGAACTCAGGGTTCATTTCATACGCGAGAATAAGTTTTCATTACGAGGGAAAATATATCTTTTTAACACTTCGGTGAACCCCTATTAAAGGAACATGTTCCCCAGTTAAGGGGTCGGGGGCACTTTGAGTGTGAACAATGGTCAAATCAATACAATTAATAAAAATAGAAAAAAATATAATTTCTTAGATTTATATAGGCTTATTGTTTTTGTCGATTCCTAATATATTTAACTATGTCATACGTGAGTTTCATCTATGTAGCTTTCGTATTTTTGGCACAGCAAAAAGAAAGATAGCCTGTTTTCTGATTTTTACATTTAATTGACATCTTAGTAAAATTTCTTTTGCCTACCAAGTAGTGCGCGGCCAGCGTTTCTATCAGGGCCAATGTAAACGCGAATTTGCGTAACGAGGATATTTTGGTTAAATCTCATGAAAATTCATAATCATCCTTATAGAACGTATTTTGCGCATGCATTGTTTCCAAATCTGTGTCGGCTTCAGAGTGATCAGTTGTTCTGTGCATCGCTCGGAACCAGCCGCGAGTAACGCATTTTCAATGAAAAATAAATGCGATTGTTAATATCCACCTTGGTACCATAAACCTGTAATCGTATGACTACTTATACAGAGTTTTACTATATTATAGGCCTAGACTAGAACCAGTCCCCCTACTTTAGTATAGAGGCCTAGTCCAAGACCACCTTGTTGCAAATCCCAGCCCACGTAAGCCATTGAATTTTGCAATTACATTTTATTTTAACATGGACTTTTGCTGCGTATGGCACCTCTGTGTGGTCCACTTAGTGTTATTTACGATTGATTTTTGATGAGGATTCATCCATCATAATGTGATCCATGGGCGTCGATCGGTGGGGACAGGGGGAACGCGTCCCCCTACTTTTTAAAGTAGGTGGGGAGGGGACATCATATCGATCGTTTCCCTCCCCCCACTTTTCACCAACCTTCTATAATTAAAACCCCACTTTTAAAAGCGAATGGAAAGAATAACAATTACGCATGACAAATGAATTTTGTCTGTTCACTTTTCAAAGTGTGGTACGTATTTTCCGGACCAAAAACGAGTAAAAACGCAATTGTTTATATCTCGTAACCGTCTCAGAAACCACTAGATCGATTTTTTTGGGTGCAATGGTTTTCAGAGGCTAAATTTATTGTGAAAACAACGGTACTGAACGTTGTTAAAATTGGATGCGTGTATACTTATTAGGCCAATATTTTTACCAACTTAATTAAAAGTGCACAATTTCTACTATAAACTATTTATTCATTTTGTATATTATTACGACCCGTACGTATATAGTGTTTAATATTATCTACATACATAGGATTACTGTTTTTCCTAATTTAAAAAAAAAAAATTATAGTTAGTCAATTGAATTTTATATAGCCATTATTAAACAATAATTATACAGCCTTTGACACGGATATGTCTATCTATTTCGATTAAGTGACCAAAAATTTACAAACGCCAGTGTTACGTTGACACAATCTCGCAATGACGTCATAATAATTAGTGGCGAATTCAAGTGGGGCCGAGACGATTCTAAATTTTTCAAAATTACTTTTTAAAAAATGGAAAAAACAAAGGAAAACTATAATTAGAATTTAGGTCTGAGAGTGCCAGGGCCCCCCGTCGGGGAGATTTGGGTCCCCCCACCCCGTCGGGGAGAAAAAGCACAATTCGTCGTGGAGAAAAAAAAATATTTTATGTATTTTTTACATATTAGTAGACTTTAAAATCGATTATATAAGCCTTTGAAGCCCCTAAATTGTCAAAATTTTCGGGGGCTTCGCCCCCACGACCACTTTCGGAACCTTTTAATCGAAGCTCGACCACGCTCACTTTGCTTTAGTCGGTAAAATCTGACCCCTCGTCGGGGGCATCGGCCTCGACATTACATGATTCATAGGCCAGATGTGTATAAGAGACAGGAATTTAGGTCTGATAGTGCCCATTTCCGGCGATCTAGAGGTGTCATAATCATAAATTTTCTTCTCAGCCCCAAAACCATGGTGGGGCTGAGGTGATCTACTTTCTCATTGTGCAAGTCCCTTCCTGTCCCTCCTCTAATTTGCTTTCCTGGAGTCGCCACTGATAATGATAAATTAAGTATAAATCACCTTTATGTTTGTGAAATCAAAATGCTAACTAATGTGTTGTGTGCTTTCTATCTCCCTAGTCTTGTTTAGACAGTATTATTTCCACTCACAATAGTGTAGTCGCAATATTACTTACACAAAAGTGAAATTCAAAAAGAGGAGAAAAGCAAAACCTCTTGATTGATTTTAAAATTACTGTACATGTAAAAAGACTAAATTAATTACTCTTTTAAGTTTATCTTATTTATTTTTCATGGTTCGAATTTTGAATACGTTACAAGCTAATCAGTAGATAATAAATCATTATTTTTATGAATGTTTGCACGAAATATATAAGCGGGCATAATGACTAAAAGGATAATTTTAAAAACTTTTTTTTTCCGAAATTTAAAAGTGGAGAAAATTGAAAATTCAGTCTGAGAGTGCCATTTCCGATCAACTAGGGGTGCCATAATTATACATTTTCTTACCTCAACCCCAACCATGGTGGAGCTAAGGTGGTCTACACTCTCCATCTGTGGAAGTCCCTCTCTGGGCCCAGCTCTATTTCAAATTACTGGATCCGCCACTGGATATTTTGAAATTTCGTATGGAAATACAATGTTTATTGCGTTGCTTAAAATCAATTAAAAGGTTATAGGCGCCAGAACTTCCGGTGGCTTTTCCCCCTGGTCCCCAACCAAGGCTTTATTTTTCATTTCGTTCCCCACCCACCCCCCTCCCCTAACCACTTTCAAGCACGGATCGGCGCCCTTGACGTGGTCCGATCCGTCATTCATGCATTCATTCATTTCTTAATTTATTCATAATCGTATCATCCAAAGCTTATAAGAAGAGTGTGGCATCTGAGATTGATGCCAGTGATTGATGTGAAAAGAAGTGGATACCCAGCCCCGTAGCTGAAAGGGGCCAGAGCGGAGGAAGCAGCGACATAGCTAGGTGCGAAAGGGCTCGAGTGCAAGCTTAATTTATTTTTAAAAACTATTCAGGGAACAACCCATATTAAGAGGACACTTTGTTAGTCTCCAAAGTTCCCCCTTAATAGGGGTTTTACTGTATCAGTGTTTGATCTACGTGTGCTAATTAAACAGAGACAGTGATGTCTAGGAGGGGTTGGAGGTGATGAGGTCAAACGATGACTGATAAATCATTCCATGAATGCTGCAGAAACTGGTTAGTGAGATGAGAATTCTCTCTTAGTTTTTTTTTTTTTTTTTTCGGAGGCTTCAGTGGGGCGCTTATTCGAGAGCGGCCATTAAAAAAAAAAGCTATATTTCCTTGCCTATGGTATTTCACGTTTTCCCGTAGTTCAGTATGCCTATCTTCGTAAAAAAAAAAACGTTTATAAGACATGCTGTGTCTTCATTGTGTTATTTATTTTAACACATGTATACATTTGAATTTAAAACCCGGTTTCATTACACACAGGGTAAGCTCTCGATTAAGCACCACGCTGCCAATTCGGGAGCGGCGCCAGACGAAAAAAATCATGTTTGGTGCGGTACTTATTCGAACATTTACGATAGGCAACGATATCAATTCGAAAAAAAAGCCCACTTGTTTCAACACATAAATAAAATGTAATGTTTGATTTGATTGAAAATCAGTGTGTAAAATGACCATGCCAACACTATGCGTTAGGTTGTTTAGTTGTGCGCCACCTTGCGGTGCACCTGTTCGCACTGCGGAGGCTCTGTTGTGTTATTGTTTGAAATTAAACTGGTTTGTAAAGTATTACCTAGTTGTGTCTTTATTGCCTTATCCCACCGCTGTTACCACGGCAATTAAGACACTACCAGGTAATACTTTACAATCAGTTTAATTCCAAACAACACACAGAATATCCGCAGAGCGAACAGGCGAAAGAGAGGGGCGCACAACTAAACAACTTAACACATTGAATGTTGGCGCTACAATACAATATTTTCTCCGAACTCGCTCATATGACTAAATACATAAATCAGTTGAAATTTAACAATGTTCATTTTCATTAGCTTTAAACTTTAGTCAGCTTTCCTTTATAGTCAGGAGAGTAACTGGCCTGTTAGACTGCTTCTGCTGCCCAAGAAATAGAGGCCTACTCTTTTATTCATCAGTGAATAATGGGGTAGCAACCAACTTTCAAACGCTCAACACCTAGTTTTTTCGCTTCAGTGGAAAATTAGCTTGATGAGTGTCTACTTTTTGCATATGCCAATTTTAATTTGTACAAAGCCATTGGTGAAGCTGAAGCTTATTAAAAATGGCTTTAATAATGGGTAAAACACTAAAACTAGAAACATCACAAACCAGAGGTCCACTGCCTCAAATCACCAAACCAAAAACAATAATGTAAATATCCAAACCAGACTCATGACATCTGATAATTATTTATTCCAGGAATTATGACTCACCAATAATCCAACAGTTCACTGCAGATATTTAAACATTCAATTTATTTCATCGGGTAGATTGTGACCAAATATGACAAACACAGCAAATACTGAACAAGATATTGAGATAATAATAAGAATAAAGATATCTAAATATGCCAATAGTACAAAGTGAATAATTATTATAAGTTTTGATACAGAAGGAATTAGTGTTGCAAATAAAAATCTATGCACAACAACACAGTATTTGTCACCTTTTGGCATTCATGTAAAAGGTAAGGTTGCTTCTACAACGGCTACTTTAATATAAAGTGATAGTCTTTGAAGTCGTATCTGAATTTGTCATAAGAACATTCACAAAAAATTAGCCACAGAGAAGACATATTCTGTATGTAAAAGCGAGTCCTAAGTCGTATCTGAATTTGTCATAGGAACGTTCACAAACAAATGAGCCACAGAGAAAAAACATAGTGTGAGTATGTAAAGACAGCAATAATTAATCAATGCTTTTAACATTAATTTATACCAATAATTAAATTCTTTAGTTTTTAAATAACTACTTTGATGAAGAATTATTTTAATATATATTAGATGAAAACTCTGCTTTATTCCCCATTACTAATCCATATTTCAAATTTTTATCATCCTGAGTGGTAAATTTATTGTGACTCCTTAGCAGCTAGTTTTCTCTTCAGGCTTTCTGGCATCTCTGGTGGAGGTGGGCGTGGCATCCTGAAGTAGACCTTCACGGAGTCGTAGATGAACCATTGCAAGGCGGTGAGAGTACCAATCATGATGATACGTGGCGTCAAGCCCTTCCATAAACCTAAGAGAGCGACAGAAAACATTTTCAATTTATAATGCAAATTTACAGGTCTCCTTCCGATTAAAGATCACTTTTGGGACCACGGTTTCCATGGCCTTTAGCAGCTTTGGTCTCCAATTAGAATAATAAACATAAAAGACTTTTGTGACTATGGGACCACAGAAAAGTGGTCTTTAATTGGAGGTACCAGTAGTCTTTAATTAGTGGGAGACCTGCAAGCTTGTTTAAATTCTTCTGGTTTTTATTGTACAAAAAGCTACTTAATTTTTTAGTTCTGCCCTCAAAAGTTTTAAAGGATTATTTTTAATGATTAACTAAAAAAGAATTTTAAGTGGAATGAAGTGGGTAGAACCAACATATATTTTCGAATGTGGTTAGTGGGAGAAATAAATAATCAAAATCATTCAATTATCAAACCATTGTTATGTTTTTGTAATGATGAAACTACGACTAACAAGAGTAACAAAAAGAAAGACTACCTTAAAAACATTATCCTCCTGCCAAGGAACATCTTGGTAGGAGTGATTACATTTGTCCCCATTACAAGAGTGTCCATTGTGATAAATGACATTCAGCTGAATGTTTAAAGACAGCCAAGCACTGCACAATGGTCAATGAATCCAGCAATGGAGGTAGATCAATGTCACACACTAATGACTCAAGCACTTCCGACCGAACAACAAAAGCGTTGCTGGGCAACAAAACATAGACAGAAACCAGTTAAAAACTGATGTGCTGGCCATGCAATGTGGAGCCCCAGAAGTGGATCTAAGGAGTGTGTTGTAAGCCCTCTCAATTTTATTGTACAAACACATTTGGAATGTCTAAATATGGACCATGATAATATGATATCATGACTACAGGTACATCATGACTGTGGGCATACAACAGTAGAACAGTAAAAAAAAATTTGATAGTGTGGACATTACACAGCATTATTCAACATAAAATGTTTGATGCAACAAATACTGATGTAGTTTCTTTGCACAAAAAGATCATTAACAGACTTACCGGCCATTCCAAGATCCTTTGCTGCTTGCAGTGGAGTGCTACCAACCTCCTTGTTCAATTTGGATACAACCGAGTCAGCAGGATGCGACACAATAGCACAGAACACACCAGCTAAAAAAAGCACAAATTGAAATTATCACAATAATCAAAATGTGATACAGCATTACAGAATTAAGTTTTGCTATTGCCCAGCTTTAAACTAGCTTTATACTAGCTTTTGCCATATGAAAAACTGGTCTACACTATTGGGACTACTTCTGGCTCGTTGAGTCATAGAAGCATGGACTTTTATTTATTTATTTTTTTTTTAAGGCGTAAAAAAATAAATGAAATGAAAACGTACATGTAAATAGGATAATTTAAATACTGTAATATTATTATGATGAAATGAGTTAATGATTTACTGAAAGAAGAATGGAAAAAAGTATGCTGAGGCAGGATGTATAATACTGCAGAAAACAGATAAAAAAAATGTTATATTTTCGTATAGTCATTGAATACTAAATTAAAGCAGATTAGGCCTACTGACGAATGAATATTTTATTTTAAATGCGTGTTTGAATCATTATCCAGTAAATGATGAATTTCGTCAAGATCTTATCACACAGCGTTGCAGCTTTTCTTCACACTCTCACCTTTAAATGCTCCGTTACAAGGTACTTCAACGATTAAATTTTACACATACAAAATGACACATATCATCAAGTGTAAGTTTTAAAAAATGTCTATGTTGTTAGAGAGCTTTCGTTTTTTGCAATGACGTGACGCTAAAATGAATTCACTGCGTGACAGTCCTACTGATCTCTGCACTACGTAGATTCGGGCCAAATTGCATCCGAGATTTCCATGCGTAAACAAGAAATGTAAGCTCTCATGTCCATTTTTTTTTCCTTAGTCACGTCATTATGTTCTATGTCCTAAAGCTTTCTATTATATTCAATTGTGAAAGGCTTTAAAAAAAAAAAAAAGATCTTACCAATGTAGCCAGCAACAAAGGTGACAACAAGCTGCTCTGGTTTGCTGCATTCTGCTCTTGGTTTTGGTACCACATACTTGTACAGGGCCTCTACAGTACGCTCAAAGCATGCAAACTTCATCATAGTGTACGGGATTTGTCGAAGCCACAATGGTGGAAGGCCCTTGTAAAACCTAGAACCAATTTGAAATAACTGCATGTTAACAACTGCAGTAATGGGTTAGATACAAAACGTTTAAAAATCAAGTATTTGGTATGTAGTGAATATTTATGCAGAAATAAAAACTGTTGTATGCCTATATATAGTCATGATGTGCAGCGCTTATATATGTTCATGATGTGATGTCATCACGACCATATTTAGCTATGTCACATGTTTTTGTAAAAAAAAATTGTTAATCTGGACAGAGCACAACAGTAGCATGATACAGAGTCAAGAAATATTTTTTCGTGCAATGCAATTGATTTGACAGCAAACAACTACAGCCGTGACTGTAATGATAATAATAATAATAGTTGGATTTATATAGCGCATCACGTGAGAAAGCCTCTATGCACTTGGTGATTGAGCTCTTTGAGTTTGACATTTTGAAAAACTGTCAGTGATTGGCGAGAAAACTTTTTGTCCAGCGACATGTTTTTTTTTAAATTAGCAAACTATTTTTAGTATCGCGTTTTCGCGTCGCATTCAGATCATAACATGACAAAAAAATATAAGCATGTCATGGCTATTAATAATATGGGCGTACAACAGGTTACAATAAAAATAAAATTTGATAATTTGGACAGCGAGTTAGACAGGTGAGTTTAAATTACGCACCCTCTAATTCCTTCTGATTGCATCATTTTTGGAACTCCTTCCCTTAACGTGCCAGCCCAGCCTGGGGATGTTTGGATCTTGACCTTCACTGCTTCCATTGGTGCCAGTGCAATATCAGCAAAGAACTCAGCACTCGCGCTGGCAGCCAAGTATAATGAAGTTCTATAAAGGTACGAATTTTCCTAAGAGAAACAAATAAAAAATTAACACTTTTAATCATGTACAAGTCATGCTTTCAGTGGAAAGCAAATGCAATAGGGACATGACATTAGATAAATATCACCTTAAACTGCAATCATACAAAAGATATATTGCTAAGATATACAGTGTGAAATTTAGGTAAACAAAATCAAGAAGTGTTTATCATTTACCTCTCCAACCAAATTGCTGTACTGGATCTTGAAAACTTCATAAAGACCGAACTTGCACAGTCCCTGCATGGAGTAGCCGACAAAGGTTGGTGCCCATCCTTTACCTAGTGCACGCACTCCTTCCTCCGCTAAAGTTACACGGAAACCATTTACTGTACTCTTGTATTTCGTAGGGTCAACCTGAAAGAATTAAGTGAATTGCTTAAGCCTGGTTTTACTTAAAATCGCTACGCTGCAGCTGTATGGCATTTTGAGGGTGAACATTGTACTGAGTAGCACTCCCCAATGCAATCGGGAAGACCCCTCCACCCTGATTTTACTGACCAATCAGCATCACCGAAAGCTACCGGAGATAGCATGTAGCGGTTGTATAGAAACCAAGCTATACACATTAAAATAAAACATGAAAAGTTATATCTGCACTATACTCTCATAAATCAAAATTCTACTAAGGCACAGCCAAGGCACACCCATGAGACTTCCTTCCTGACGATTCACCTGCGTTCACTATAGACTTGCCACAAGTCTTTTATTTCTTATTATTTTTCTCATTATGGACAGCGCCACCAACGAGAAAGTTAATTTAGAGACGGAATAAGCGACTTGTGAAACACTGAATGCAGGCACCAGGATGCCAAAAGAATGACGTAATCTTATATTCCATATTTGGATAAATGGGCGGACCGAAATAAACAATTTCAACTAATCAAATGTTCATATTTTTGGAGCCACGAAACTGAGTCACTCCTGTCAACTAGTTAGGCATGACTAAAATAGTCCTCCCTAATAAAACGGGCCTAAAATATTTAGAACAGACCGTAGTAAGACTAATTTTGGCAATGGCAAAAACAATTAAGCTTAGACTAGATGGCATACCATACCATTACAAATACAACAACACTTTCCAGGAGGATGGCTCAGGCCTCTGGAGTCAGAAGTAGTAGGCCTAGCCTACATTAGTAGAGGCTTGGCCTATTTTTAAGTTCATACTTACAGAGGCCTACCTTTTTAACAATATTCTACCCTAAAGGCCTAAATCTGTGTAGCAGCTAGCGGTGAGCAAGGTTCTGTAAGTATAGCCTACTACGGTTATCAGTCCATAGTCGTTCTCAGCAGGCCAGGACTATACAAACTGTTTTAATTCAAGTAGGTAGGCAGAAGGGAGCTGGTTAGCTTGTCCTAGTCGAGACACCGCATCTTCAATTTTGAAAATTTACCAAGATTAATTAATATGCATGAAGTAAGCCAACCACGTGATTTACAAAATCAGTCATGCATACGATATCCCACATCGAATTTGATATGGGAAATCGTACGCATGAATCGTTTGCCCAGGCCCTAATCCAAAAAAAATAAATCGAGTATGGGACGCCAATTAACCCAGGCTACGTTCCCTAGAGTGGTGTTTGAACTTGGAACATTAAGTTTGTAGCCTGTCTGTTAGTAAATGCCAAAAATTTACATTACAAATTTAGTGTGTATGGCCCATGTTTATTTTTTACTAGTGACTACTGTGTAAGTCATTATTATAGCCGATAAGTGTTATGCCGGGCACTGATTACATTGTACCAATCTCCGCTCCCCCCATGTAGCGCTAGGCCACTGTTCCCCCACCTACTGTATTGGTCGCAACCCAATATTTGGGTCACAGAAACATGTTTGCATTATCTCTTTTGATCATGAAAATTTTACTTAATATGAAACCACGACAAACAAAATAAATTATAGGAAACAAAAGTGCGATTTTAAGTATCTGTTCACATGTGTTATCATTAATGGTTTCATGTTGAATTATATACTGTACTATCAAAACATCTGTACTTCAGGTATGGCAAACTTGAAAGTGTTTGTTTTGTTTATTTCAATGTGTTTGGCTTTCTCAGCAAAAAATCATAATGAGAATAAATATGTCTGTTTTTGCATATTATACCAATAAATTTATTATGTAGTAGAATGTCAATTATGAGTTAACTTTTAAATCTTTAAAAATATATTGTCCCATAAAAATTACCAAAAAAAAAAAAAAAAAAAATTGAAAAACCATTTTAAAAAATTAACTTATTTATTCAGAATAACAATTTTAATATTTAAGTAACATAAAATTCATCAACTTGAACATAGAAATTAGTAACAAATGTTCAACTATAATTTTACAACGAAAAATGATAGAAACACTTCTAGTCACTGGAAGTGTTTCATTACTTTTATTACACGTTTTCATTATAAAAATCAGGGTACTCATTTTTTTAACTCAATAATTACTATGCTCAAGTTAATAAATTGTATGTTAATACAAAATAGTCAAGTACTTTCAATTTTTTTAATGATTATTTGTCATTTTTAGGGGACAATACATCTTAACTTATTAAGATTTAAAAAAAATTAAGTTGTGGGTAAACATATCTTAAATTGGTTGACAAAAGAATAAGTGGTTCTTCTGATATCCGCCATCCCTTGTGCGTATAAAACAATGTGATGACTTAATTCACTTAAATAAAAAAAGAATACCATATTCAATCATTTTATTATGAAATTTTTGCAAGAAAATTTGCATTTGGGTTCAATGGGTCGCATCTCTGAGAGCTTGATATATAAATTAGGGTTATGGGCTAAAAAGGTTGCGGATCGGAGCGCTAGAGAATGTGACGCTATCTGCTGATTTTTGGTGGCAGTCTGGCCAGATCGTCATTAACAACGATCCATTGCATAAGCATTGTGACCTTGCGTTCTACATAGAATCGCGTAAAACTGACGACCAATGAGTGCACAGAATTAACACCGTTCACAGACTGCGTACTGTATAGCAAACCACACCTGGTTAATGAGCTTTCATTCAAAAACAAAATTTTATCTGTGTGTGATGAATGACCATTGACATTGTTTTGATTGAGAAGTACAGTACTTTTGAATGAATAGTTTCAAGACAGTGTTTATTAACAACATGCAACCCTTTTGTTTTGTACCTGAATTCTGCATTTCACCAAATCAAGAGGAACAATTGCTGTATGTGTAAGTCCGCAACTAAGAATACCACCAAATCCACAAAGTGTTAAATATTTCCTGGAACCATAAAAATCACAATCACAGTACAAAAATAATATTCAGATTAGATCAGTTTATAATATTTACAATAATGTACAAGGAACATTATAAGAAAATTCTATAAAATACAATTTCAGAGCTAAATGTTATGTTCATTATAGTTGATACCTGTCTCTTATACACATCTAGATGTGTATAAGAGACAGCACTTTTGGCTGTAGAACAAGAATATGACTTGACTTTTGGTAATACTGTAAAATATGTGGTCACTTAATGTCTCTGCCATTGTTAGTTAGACTCCATTAAAATACCAGTCCACAAGACCCATGAGCATTTTGTCTGATGGATACCGGTGCTACACAAAAACATATTGTTAATATTTTTATAGGCTGGTCTACGTCCAATTTGCGAATTCATGACGTTTAATTTCGCTATGCAAGCCATCGATCAGGTGATCAACTCTGCAGCCAAGACATACTATATGTCAGCAGGGGCGGTAAGTACATGGGAGGGGGGTATTTTAACAAAATATTCAAATTATGATTTCTTTTAAGATATTTTGTTATTTATTTGATCTTAATTTATTTGAATTAAGATCAGAATACATATTGATTGTGTCTGTATAGGTCAGTTATGATCTACACTGAGCAAAATCACCACTGCCAACATCATTAACACAGGAGTTGGAAGAAACCATATCCGGAAGATCAGTTTAAATGGGCTTTCTAAGCACATTCTGCTGTGGATGGTGATGTACATTGGCACTGACATATGGGAGATAATTGATAATAGTATTAAAAATTGGCAAAAAACATGCAAATACAGTAACATGAATTTGCTGGAGATGGGTTAATTTCCGGGAGATTCTTGCTTGCTCGGGGGGTGTGGGGGGCCTTCTCGATTTCCAGGAGATTGCCGTGACTTCCAGAAGACTTGGGACCCCTTGGGTCTCATTAAAACACTAACTATCATCATCGCCACCAACACCATCATGAACACTACATTTACCAACACATAAAATCACTAACTTCTTTTATTTTGCTGTAATTTTTTTTTTTTTTTTAAATCACATTAATATGTTATTGTTTTACTAAGGATTATTAAAAAGTTGCTAATATCAGGGCAGATCCAGAGATGTCCGAAAGGGGGCAGGGACAATGTCCAAAAGGGGGGAGGGAGATTGATAGACACCACCTTGGGTCTCAAGGACATGTCCCAGGTAACTCAAGGACATGTCCCAGGTATCTAAATGCCTGGAAATATCCTCTGAGGATGCTCGCCCTCCCTCTAAATCATCCCCTGGATCTGTTGCTAAATTATAATTTCAATGTTTATACAGTTGGTGAAATCTAACAATGGTGCTTTTTTATTTATTTATTTATTTTTTTTTTTTTTGTGAATATAACTTGTTATAGGGCAAATCTAATTGCATAGCATAGTGTATGTACTCATCAGTATGAATTCATATAATATTTAAAAAAAAAACAAAATCATTTGATTAATTTCAGGTAAATGTACCAATAGTATTTAGGGGTCCAAACGGAGCAGCAGCCGGAGTTGCTGCCCAGCATTCGCAGTGTTTTGCCAGCTGGTATGGGCATGTACCAGGCCTGAAGGTTGTAAGCCCTTGGTCATCAGAAGATGCCAAAGGCCTACTCAAGGCAGCAGTCAGAGACGATAATCCAGGTATACATCAAAACAATTGACATAAAACATAATGATATACAAATAGTACAGCTTTGTATTAAAATGTGTTTGTTAATTTTTACTACCATTAATGATAGAAAAATATCTAACCATCACTCACTGACTAAATTATACAGTAATTGCAAATGATAATTAAAAAAAAATTAAATTGCAGCAAGCCCCACAATAATTTTTAAATGTGGTAATTATTGATTACTATTTATTTATTTATTTTTTTATTTCATTTCAACCCCAACAGCGAAAATGACAATAACAGGGAGCGTACAGTAATACAATATAAAATCGATAAAAATCACAATCACAGTACAAAAATAATATTCAGATTAGATCAGTTTATAATATTTACAATAATGTACAAGGAACATTATAAGAAAATTCTATAAAATACAATTTCAGAGCTAAATGTTATGTTCATTATAGTTGATACATGCCACTATTTTTCTTGATTATTTTTTGGAACTAGCGGAAATAGATTGAAGCTTTCGATAAATTAGTTTCTCCCAGACCACTACCTACAGGCTCCTTTCTTCAGATCAAAGGATCCTGCAATTAATTTGGACCGGGGCCCGTTCTCACCTCACTACGCCTTGCTCCAGACCACCTCGCAATATCTAGTAACCTAAATTTAAATTCTTTATATTAGTTGTTGTGTTGGAGAACGAAATCATGTATGGTCAGCAATTTGATATGTCCGATGAGGCAATGTCAAAGGATTTTGTGCTTCCAATTGGTCAAGCAAAGATAGAGAAAGAAGGCAGCCATATCACTCTGGTAGGACATAGTTTAGCCGTTGGCAAGTGCATGGAAGCAGCTAAAGCCTTGGAGAGTGAAGGCATCTCCTGCGAGGTAAAAAAAAAAATATGCTCAACATTTTTTATTCCATAATTCAATTCGTAAGAAATATTAAATTTATCATTATACTGTAATTACAAAGTATATTGTAATTTAGATGTCAAATTAAATCAAATCATCAAATCATTCTTTATTGCAACTCATTAAGAGGGTTGAATTTCACAAAAGTAATAGGGAAAAGTTAAAAATCCCAGCAATCAACATTGAAAACAAACAACAAGAAAGACCAACATCACAAAAACAACAAAGAGATACGAGAAGATAAAAGGTAAAAATGGCAACCGAGTACATTATAATTAAAAAATGATTATTACTATTATTATCATTGTTTCTACCACCATCACTATTATTAAAATTATTATCGTTGAATTAAGAATATTAGAATAATTTTAATAACGAATTTTGAAAATGACCTTAGCATTTGCCTGTGCAGGGAGTTCTTACCAGCCCTGGAACAAACCAAAATTTAAGATAAACTTTTTTGACCTTTCGGTTTTGACTTAAACTGCAGAATGTAACTGCAGAATATCAAAACCTCTATGTGTTTCACATCTTTTTATCATCCCATCTATAAAATAGGGTGTATTCTATAATCAGTGTATTGGTAAACCTACCCACTACCTGCTATTCACAATTTCAATTTGTGTCTACTGCCCCCTGGGGGAAAGTAGACATTATGTTATGATCTGGCACTTGACATGTACATCCATTATGGAGGAATGATTGGATGAGAAATGAAAAGCAAGTTTAGAAAAATATGACATGCTCGATAAAACTTGTCCTGTTTACTAAAACGTAACAACAAAAAGCAGTAGACATAAGCTTCTGCTGGGAGAGCCTATTTTTTTTATTTTTTTTTTTATTTCAAGTGGCCAGCACTAGACTTTGGCCTTTGACCTTTTAATATTTGAAAAGCCCATCTGTGCCCATACCCCTATTATATTTATGTATGCATTATTATTTATTTTTAATATTTATTGTATCCATGATTATAGAATAATTAAATTGGTTTTCAGTGTGTTACCATACTATTGTTTACCATATCAAAGTCGCTATTCCATATAAATTTTAATTTAATGAATTTTGTTCTTTAGGTTGTAAACCTCCGTTCAATTCGACCACTCGATTTCAACACCATCAGGGAATCTGTGATGAAAACGAATCATTTGGTCACAGTGGAAGGAGGTTGGCCTTCCTTTGGAGTTGGCGCAGAGGTCATAGCAAGAATAATGGAAAGTAAGTTACGAAATATCAATATATGTATTCAGTCAGGCATTCCAATTTCAATAGCAGCAATGCTTAGACCCTTATGCACCTTACATTATTATCCCCGGTCATTTGGTCCAAACATGGAACACATATTCATTTGTCTTTGGGGGTGTATTATATTATTCAGTGCATTAGCATTTACGAATCCCAGACTGTAAAATAAGGTCTGCGCAGGGAATATCTATTCTCCGTACAAAAATACGGCCTAGAAATTCGTCTGCACATTCCGGAAAATAAGGGCCGTTTTCTGTACAGACTGTCAAAAATTAAACTTTGACCTAATCTTAATATATAACCTAGTGACTTTCTACGCGTATTTAAGCTAGTTTTTGAGGTATCATTCGCGTACAGTATGGTACGATTTGGAAGTGGTAATGCAGGGAAGGCACCTACTACAGCTGTATGTCTTCCAGGGTTCAGCTGGTAAGAACCATGTCTTCTGAGACATGTCCCCATTGTGTTTTTGGGAACAGTAGAGGGTTAACCTGATGCTTGGTTCATTTCAACTTGTGTTGTAAAATGATGTGAACATAAAGCTATACTAAGATATAAGCACCTATTTCTGGCAGTTAGGTAGTCACTGACCATGCCCATCCAATACAACACAATGTCGCTGACCTATTTAAGCTTATTATGTTCAGTAACTTGTGGATAGAGTAGACACACAGAATGTGGTAATATGCCTTACTCAATAACACAAATAAGTGGCCAGTCTAAAATCCGAACCAACAACCCTTAAAGTCGAAGCATGGTGCCTAACCACTGTACCACAAGCACACGCATAATGTATTGTATAAACAATTTAGCTGTGTTAAATTAAATATTGCTTTTATCTCTCGTCAGGTGATGCCTTCGATCATTTGGATGCCCCGATTGTCAGAGTCAGTGGTGCTGATATTCCTATGCCGTACGCTCAATCCTTAGAAAATGCTGCATTACCTCAAATTATTAACGTAGTTAATTCTGTTAAACGTACATTAAACCTACAAGTTAACAACAGTTAAGATTAAAATTATTTTATCATAAATCGAATGTAATAGAAGATATTTTACAATATTGTTAGAGTGGACTGTGTTAAACCCCCCGCTATTAAATTATTTTTTTTGTGACAGATTTGTTTTAAATTAAATTAAGTTATATTTACGCCACCTTTTGTTTTACTAGATCCCAACAAAAAAACAAAAAAAAATTATAACAGTAATAGTAGCATTCTATCTATTGTCTTTATATACTTATATGGTATGCCATATTCTAACTATTACAATATATATTTTGGTACCATTCCATTGAACATTTGCCACCCTGACTCAGTAATAGTTTTTCCGTAATTTTTTATCAGTACAGCGAGACCAGTGAGCAAATGTATTCACTTCCAATAAAAATGTTGATCAAAAATAGCAAAGCTCACTTGTACCGTTGGAATTACAGCTGGGAATCTACGATATAATAACTTGTATACTATTTCAATGAAATGAAAAACAATTCTTAATTTAGAATTTTAATGTACTGTAATTTGAATTTAGTGACAATGTTCAAAACATAAGTACATAACTGATTTTATATTGCAATGTAGACTTTAAAACTACGTAATGAAAGCACTGTTTAACTTTTACTATCAACCATTGCTGTGTGAAATTACATAATTATATCAGTATTGTATTGTTTAAAGACAAAAAATAAAAGAGTGCCATATTTGAGAGCATTCTTGTATTTAGAGTGTACTTCCTTCATTTAAGTTCTTTATTTGTAAAAAGTAGTTGAATCACAAACGTATATTGGTATATCATCCATTGTGCAATGGATTTTAGAAACATCAAGTTTCCGGCAAGTTGTAGGAATCTCCCGGAAATCATGATGGCTTCACGCAATCAAGCATCTCCCCGAAAATCACCTAACCCGTAATATTAATAATATGCAAATTTTTGCTACTTCATTATCAATTGTCTGATGCAGGAATATGTGGGGCAGCATGCAAGGTGTTGGATTCTGAGATCGGTGGTTTGCGGTCATTGCATTGCTTGTGCCATAGGGCAAGACACTTTACTTGCGTTTGCCTGTCTCCACCCAGGAGTATAAATGGGCACCTGGTAGGATGGTATAACACTGAACGTATGTGGTTGTGCGTGCGAAGCAGCATGACTAGGGATACTCCCCAGGAAGCAGAGAAAGTTGCACAAAAATGTATTGGTTTGCCAACAAAATATCCAGTGACCAGGGAAATACTGATGCCAGCGACTTTGTATATTCTCTAAAATGTAAAAGGCGGCATATTAATTTGGATTCTGAAGTCACCATGCGATGGAAAATAAGTTAAATGCGTAAAAAAGGTCATTAAACTAGATCTCCCGTAAGTGACTTTTCCAAAATTGTGACCTGGATGTTGAAAAATCAAGTGCTGCCTGTGACCCAAGTTTAATTACTGTACAGGAAACTACTTGGGCCCCAGTCTGCATCTGTTAACACACAAAATTTATTAACGGATAAAAATAACAACAACAGCTTTAATTGATTGGATTTACTTGGTGTAAACGGACGGATGGAAGTCAAAAGAAGAGTTATTTCCAATCTGGTCCTTCTGGTAGAGATTGGGCAGTACACAGGGAGAAATCCCTTAAGGCCAACTCAGACAGCGTCGTACGACGCAGCCCAACGCAATTTGTTGTCGCGTCGGGCCTGTGTGAGTTAAACGCAGACGCGATGGTGTGCGTCGGTGGCAGTCGCGTAGTAGAATATTAAACATGTTTAATATTTGTCACGACAGCTTAAGACTGTCCCCGACGATAAATCGGGTCGGGCTGCTTCGGCCGACGCTGTCTGAGTTGGCCTTTACTCTTTTGCAAAGAGCGTACTGAAAGATCGGTGCATTGACACTTGCATTTTAGTACACAGGGAGATAATTCCCTACTCTTTTCCAAAGAGCATACTGAAAGATCGGTGCATTATTGAAACTTGCACTTCAGCTGAAACTGTGGACCAAGAGATCTCCATGGTTTTGCGCAAACACAGAAGCTACTATCCGACTGAGCCAGTGGCGTATCTTGGGGTGCGCACGCCCCTCTAAAAATTACTCGCGCCCCCATAGTCACCCCTAAAAATCGCTGTCAAGCAGTTAAAACTCGCCTAAAATCCCCTTATTTCTGCGAATTAGAGCCCCTCAACTGATCTTTGAGCCCCCCACTTCACCTTTGCGCAGTCCCCATCAGCATCCCCATTTCAAGACTTCTAGATACACCACTGGACTGAGCTAAGCTGCTCATTAAAAACAAGTACAGTACACTAAATAAATTGTTGCACTCAAAAACATACCAGGTGATAAAAAATTGCATTAAAAAAATGACAACTGAATGTTTAAAAATCAGATTTAGATTTAATAGCTACAATTATAATCATTTATATAATTTATACAATGCTATACAAAACGCAAAGATACAATTTATATAGGCCACTGGAGTACTGTGTAGTGAAAATCAGTGATTTATACATATTTCAAACATAATTCTTTTTAAGTACATTATCTGGGCTAATTTTAAAAACAAAATGAAAATCACCTAATTTAACAAAAAAAATTGTATTCGATCATGATTTCAAGTCTAAAATCTCGCCAACTTGCACATCACTGATGTACAGTTAAAATACTGATAATACAGTATTCTTTTATAAAGAAAATTTTTTTAAAAATCGTGAATTATCATTATGATAAAAATAAGGCACAAAATAAGGAATACCACTAGTGTTTATCATATAAATGCACATGCAAACAAAATATATTTATATAACAATTCTTAAAATCATCATTATGGTTTTTTTTATACATCTAGTAAATATTTATAGAGCTAAATGTTTTAAATATGATGAAATATTGATGATGATGATTAAGATTATTTTGCCAGACAATGATGATGATAAATCTAAGTCAAAAGAAATACCTTTTCTATTAATAATTTCAAAAATATTATTTGACAATCACTTTGGCATGCTGTGATTTATTTACATTACAATAGCTACATGAAATACTACACTGCACCTAACCTAATAGTATAAAGCAATGTATTCTTTTGTATAGCATTAACATACATTCTTCATGCAGAAAGAAAATAAAAATTATGTATATTAAACAGTACCCCCTGACTCCCGAAAATACAGAGTGATGCATCATTTTTAATGTTTGGCAATCATAAATATCATATTGGACATGAGCAAGCTGAGCTAGACATAAAATGAACTGCCTATCTTTAGCACTTTATATATATATATACTCTAAACTGAGCAATGCTTCATAACACTGGAAGTGTTCACACCTGTACTTATGCCTGAATAAACATCCGTGCAAAATTGACACTGGGTTTCACACAAAAATCATCAATTATCCTTGAACAGAGAGTAGAATATGCAGTGACCACACAGTAAACAGACATGGGGTAAAAAGATAATACAATTTACTATACCTCATAAATATAAATTAGTAATAACAACATTCCATTGGTAAATTTCATCCAGTATAGGATGCGATAGTTTCTACTGCTTCCCTGCACATGCCAAAATTACACATGGGGGGGGGGGGGAAATTACTTCCTAAAATTGAAGACTGTACCCCTGCCTAAGTGAACTGTATGCAAATAGTGCTGTTTTACACTCACGGATGGAAATGGCTAAAGTAGAAGGACGGATTTCTGTTCAATATTTATAATACAATGCAACATGGTAATAATAATGCAACATGGTTTTATTTCTGATGGTTGGGACTACCTCCCAATCATCCAACAACAAAGGAAGTAGAAGAATTATGATAAATTGCCTCAAGATTTAAATTAATACTTTACACTTCCACACATCCACATAAAACTAGGCAAAGCAGCCACTACAACTGGACAATTTTCAGTTACCGCTGTAGGCAGCAAAATATGGAATGGAATACCAGTACACATTTGTGAAATTAAACACAGAAACACCTTCAAAAACCAAATTCGAAGAATTTTTACTACAATAAAAGGTTGTTACTTCGATTTCCATTTCGATTTTTCTCTATGGCATGTTTTTACCTTATTATTACCATTATTTTTATTATTACTATTATAGAAGTGTTTAAATTTTGTTGTTTGGATAATAATAATGAAAGAGAGAATTCACTACTTTAACTCAAACCATGTTGTGTTTGTATAATATCCACCAGTATTCAGTGGTATATATTGAGAAACTGAAGTTGAGGTTTTGAAAAAGCACACACAGATTAAAGCTGGTATTTTTCTTATCTCATACATAAAGATTAATAATAAAAACAATCTTTTTTCAGGGGTAAATAAATTCTGGATAAAAGTTTTCTCATGGACAAAAGTCACACCTTGCCTTATTTAAAGTGTAAAAACAGACAGGCTTTGCACATAAGGTACAGGTGCAGAAATTCTATTGGGTAGTTGTTAAGCATTGTGTTAACTGTATGACATCATTCTTGCTTGTACCATTGGGGAATAACTTGCATGTGGCAACCACGCAATTCAAAAGAATACTTGATCCTCGCCTTTTTGAGAATATTCGAAGCAAAAAAAAAAACCTACACTCAAGTAGTTAAAAATTAACTCAAATCACCTTAATTTGTGCGCCCCCCCCCCACCACCCCCCCTGCTCCAAGACTCCCAGATTTACCACTCCTCAAAATAATAATAGTTTACCATATGCACTAAATTTCATCAAGTATGATAATCGCTCTGGCTCTGCAACTCCTAAGTTCAACATTAATATTCTTGTGGACAATTTTTAGTTTTATTATGTAAAATAATCTAGTTTCAATTTTCAATGTGTATTCCAAGTTATTAAGTACAATATTTTTCTCAAGATGAACTTATAGTTATGATGTGCTACATTATTTGTTGTAAAGATGTGCTACAACGTTGTAGAGAATACAGCATTCTACGTTTCTCAACAATGGTACTTCAATGTTGCGAATATTACCAAGGAGTAGTAAGATTGCAAACTCAACAAATTTGCTTTTAAGGTCTGGCTTATAAAGCAATTAGTATAGTAGTTTTCCATGCACTATTCAGTTTTAGGCCTCGGGAAAAATTTGTATGCACACAAGGGCTCCTGCAAGAACTAATATCCATAGTTGTTTTACGATTATTTTACACGCTACATTATGAATTACAATATTGTAAGTGGGTATATGCTACAGTACATACTACATTATGTGTTTTACTTTCTACATTACTGAACATGCAACATGTTATCTGTTGCTGTAGCGATTACAGTGTAGATGCTATATATACTATGAATGTGTGTTACAGTATTTTACTTGCTACTTTATCAAATATGCTACATGTGTTACAATGTTGTAGGTACTACATGCTACAAACTACACCAATAAATGTATGGAAAACATTGATATTAGATGCTACGTCAATGTAAGGAGCGTGGCAGTGTGCTGCAGGTATCATGCTACATATTGCAATATTCAGGAAGCTAAGTTGAATGCACATTGGCAGCATATAATCAAAGTTTGTATCATATCATATATAAATTTCTGCTTGTCAATTCATACAATGAATCAAAAGCTCAATATAATATACATTTTTTTAATTACAACAAGGAACGTGTTGAATATTTCAGCATGTACGTCATCAGCTAAAGGCTTTTAAATTTGAGGTTCTTCAAAATAAATCACAAATGTAATTGTTGCATGAAAAATAATGCACTGTTCTCACCTATTTACACAAGGTAATAACAATATTTAGTTTGAAGGTTTGCATGGCGAAGTAATAATATTATTAGTTATAATATATTAATGCTTGCGGTACACCATGTAGATAGTTCTGAAAAGAACTGCTGTTGGTTGAGAATTGTTTCGATTGAGATGCTTTAATCATCTTCCGTAGAATAACATCTGCAAAAAATTCCAAAAAGAGAAATACACAATGTTTGGGTAGTGAATCACTACCTATATTGTGTACTGCAAGCATTAATATATAATATTTAGTTCCCAGCAAGGAATGATGGGTATTTTAAAAGAAATGCCATAAAAAAATGATGATGATGACGATAATGATGATGTCACTATTGATAATTATGGTGATGATAATGGCTATAATGGTTAATCTGATGATGACACTTCTTTCTTGATTTCTATTGAATGAAATTCAATTCTAGATTTCTAAAAAAAGTTTTGTTTATAGAGTGTGCAAGTTGTGTCTAGGTATGGACAGATTCTCGAGAATCGCGACCTTTTTTTTGCTAGTCGCAGACCAGATCTGGAATAATTTACCAAATGTGAACCAGAATTTGACTTGACTTCAGCAACACATAGAAATCTGATCCTTGTTTTTGCTGCATAACCAAAATAACTTTCTACTTCAACATTTACAAGTGGCTTCGGCAATTTACGTATCAAACTTTATTTTTTTGGATCGAGGAGGGCAGACATTTTTAATTTAGCAAAACGGTTTTGCAAATAGGATCTACTGTATGTAGAAAAAAACAATTGTACTGAACAATAACACCAGAGGCCAAACTTAGCCACTCGCTCAAGATCCTACCGTGTAGTCATAAAGAATGCAATATTGCAATGTAGAATAGATTGGTAAATGCTTTATATACTAAATTGTGAGAAGAAATAAAGACTTTTTCTTGAAAGATTTCATAGAAATAATAAATAGAAATTCATAATTTTTGTTATTTTTTAGTGGAGGCAGGTTTGCGAAACAAGGCATAAAAAATTAAGTTCATACATGTTTCTCACATACTCAACAACGGATGGCATAATCTTGTTTTTGTCTTTGATTTTCTTTTGAATTATTGAAATATCTTTGTAATTAATGATGACAGTAATTTTTTCTCTACTTTGCGATTCACATATACAGTTCCAAGACCCCTCCAATTAAAGACCAGTCTGTCTGACTCTGGATGAACACCACTCTTTTATCTTTATAGTGATTATTTTTGCACCTAAATTGGAGGAAGATATGTATTATATTTAATCTGAAGTTAACTTTCCTCAAATTGTAAACCTTTGGAGTCTGATCAATTACATAAAATAAAATAAAAAAGTTGAAACATTCACAAAACAAGTTCAATCTAAACTCTTGGTGCGCTACCATCTCGAGTCTCCGTCTTTTTCAGCGCTCCGGCTTTAAACGTTTGAATAGAATCCAATAGTGCACCCCTCTTTTGAGTTGATCCGTTTGTTTGAGGGGAAGGGGCATGTGCAAGGGCAGGTGGTGGTGGTGGTGGTACCGATCCTGTATGAAAAATAAAGAGTAATAACAAATTATTCTAATTATAATAATATATTAGTAATAATTAATAGTCTTTATACAAAGACTTGTATCTATAAAATGACTCAAAACAAATATTTTGTTAAATGTGCAAGCAAGTAAAAAAAAAACAGAAATAAAAATTAAAACTGAAAATAGGAACAAGTAATGTTAATACTTAATAAAACAAAAACAGAAGAATAAATATATCATAGCTTTGAAAACAACAATACATAATGAAAGTTCATAATAATAAAAATAATGATGATCATAAGTTATAGAATAATTGTTTAAATGGTGATAATTGGTTTCCAATAAAATCAGAAATTGATATGAAATTCACTCAGAGTTCAACTGGCATTGATAAAATCTATAATTTAAAAAAAATACTCAGATTTGTATGACCTATGCTTTCAAAAGCATGGTTAGAAACAATGTACCAGCAAAATTATTAGAGTATCACTAAAGTATGATTTTTATGAATGGTACTGGTATTCCAAGTTTTTCTTTATTTTAATGATCTAAACGTTGGATTTTTTTTTGCATACAAAATCAAAAATGTAAAAGCATGGTATGAATATTAAACAAAAAAACCAAAATGCTCCAAAGCTACAAAATTAATATGCATTAATAGGATTATAGTACATGCACTAGAAATAATATATATAATCATGCTATATGTTTTATTAATAAACTATCTATAATCTATTAACTGTTGACAGGCCTGTAGCGTGGGGAGGGGGGTTAAGGGGGCTACGACAGACTGCCCAAAATGGAGAAGGTCCGCATTTAAAAACGAAAAATTTATATTCGTAGATATATTTACAATGTTCTCCAGAGTATCGCAGATCATACAAGCCAAAGGGTCTACTTTCCACTGTAAAGAACCTCCCACAAATTAAGTCACGCTAGGGGCCTGGTTAACTATCACCATGAATATGATTTTGTTACATTGTGTATTTTTGAGGATAGGTAATATTCTTGCATGCCTTTCGTATTTTCACTAAATTTGCTGGCATTTCAGTCGGCGTAAAAACCAATATGCAATTTTAACTATAACGGTAATAATAAATAAGTATTTCCAACATCGGAGGTACGCCAAGAAGGAGCAACTGGTAGGACTTCTACTAGTTTCAGTAGCAAATGATGCCTTGATGCATTGTTCCGGCTAACAGTAAGAATTGACACTGCAATTAAAGGGGCAACGTAAAAAAGCTGACCTCAAGCTGGCATGCCATAATCTGGAAACTGTTGTTTCATCTAGGCTGTAAAAAAGCTACTAAGCCAAAATATATAAATATAAATAATAATAAATTATAAATTGTATCAATTTTGTATAGCACCCATTAAAACAACTGTTTGCAGCTCGCACCTAAGTGACTTAGTTGGAAAAAAGGTGAGTTTTCAGATGAAGAACTTTGAAACTTTCAGCATCAGAGAAAAGGAGAATGATGTACCTACGTAGGCAAGGGAAATAAAAATTCAACTTACAAAGTTTATTGCATTATTTTAAAAGTTTGATAGAAAAAAAAGCTTATATTTGGTTTGGTGTATGAGTCCGAAAGGCTCTATTTTTTGTGGTAGTCAACTTGTTTTCGTCATGTTATTATAGTTATAAAAACTATATTTTCCATATAAGAAGAGTTAAAATGATAAACCAATACAAATTATTAGTCGATTATGAAAAATATATAACTAATGAACTAGAACATAATATGAAATTAATATTGATGTTAAGCGCCTCGAGGTTGTCTCAACGTCAAGCACTAAATAAATCTTAAATTATTATTATTAATAATATACTACATATATCCATCCATCCATATATGCACACACACATACATATATGCTCAGAAACATGCATATGCTCATGGGTGTAGGCTGGATAGGTATAGACACACCCCTTTCCCCCATGACGGCAAAATTAGTTCCACTAAGTGGGTTAAAATACTAAAAATGACCGCTAAGTTTTCATTGGAATGGGTTGGAATCTAGTTGCACATGGTCATCTTTTAAACCCCCAGGTCGTTTCGCACACCCCTCCCAAAAACAAAAAAAAAACAGCCTACACCTGTGCAGGTATATGAAGTTAGTGTACAGTACATACATTGTAAAAATGCCATATGTCTTAATTATTAGTACAGCATATAGGACAATTGAAAATTTGTCGGTACAAAAGCTCTATGCTCTACAATATAAAAAATGACAATAGCAGTATTTGGTGCAAAGAATATGGATCGTTCACAAGAAAACTATAATTGTGATAGTAATTACAATTAAACGTAACATGCACTAAAACATGAAGTTACCATTAATATAATAACAATGACAATATAAACAAAACACCAAGATAACATGCACTAAAAAGATGAGGTGTTAATTAACATTTTGCTTTGAAATAAAGGAAATGAATAAATGAATACAAGAGCATTACTGTTGCAATAATACTAAACAATATTACTATTAATAATAAAAGTAAACCATAATATTAATAGCAACAAAATTAAGAAAAAAAAAAAAAAAAACAACAATACACATAAGGAATCAGATAAAAAAACGGAGAGCTCACTGACAGTAAACTTGTTTTTACATTTTTCTATTAATTAATGTTTTTCAATCTTAGTTTTTGTGTTTGTCATTGTATTCTAAATGTTTTTATTCACAAATAAATTATATGGTATGATATGAATCAGGCAGTGGCTTTTTGAATAAGATGCTTCCTTTCCCTTCCAGGGTCGTGGGTTGAAGTCCTGTACAAAAAAAAAAACTAGAATGCTTTTTTCACGATCAAAAATGACTACATTCCCTAAGCCTCGTAATAAGACTTAGTTTTATGAAGCAAATCGTGTGACATACAAAAAAAAAACTAGAATGCTTTTTTCACGATCAAAAATGACTACATTCCCTAAGCCTCGTAATAAGACTTAGTTTTATGAAGCAAATCGTGTGACATATGTTTTTCTTGAGGAAGGCATTTTAATCTGAAGATAGGATAAGACAATGGTTACAGCATAGCTCTCAATAACGCATCCTAATCTTGCGATCAGGCGCTAACTGTTAACCTAAACGTCACCCACCGCAGCACATGCAAAAAAACACCAAAATGGAGGAGGCAGATCAGGATCTGTTATTGGTTAGCGGCCGATAACGCTTAGCAAATTAAGCGCTTTATTAGGTAACAACCAATCAGATGAGAGTATTACCAAGATAAACACTAGAGTTAGAATTTCCAACAATTCATCTGCTTTGCTTTATCTCATTTTGGCGGTACTATATATTTATAATATTTTATATTTTTTAAACCAAAATCTGCCCCCGTACATGAGCATAAAGGGGGAAAAAACCCTCTGGCTCTATTTAAAATACAGTACCCGAGTTTATTACAACCTTTTTTGGACCATATGAACTACATAGCGATGGTGATGCACTTAGCAATATACATTTACAAAATAACAGTATTACTTTATTATTAAAATGTTTAAATTTCATTTTTTCTAATTATTCTGTTGTCACATGATTTTAGATCAAAAATCCATAATCAAAATAAACACCGTCAATTTTAAGTGTTCTCCTATAAAGAAAATACTGGTAGGAAAATGCAGAGGTTATGAATATGCAGTAAAATACCATGCACTAAAAAAAAATCCCAAGTTAAAAACCAAGTGTACAATAAAATTGTTTAAAAGCTCTCTGTCTAGATTATCAAATTTTCTTTCGACTGAAAATTGAAGTATGCCCATATATAGTCATGATGTGCCTATATATGGTCATGATCCGATGTCATCTTGACCATATTTAGGCATGTCACATGTTATTGTCAAACCAAATTTGATAGTCTGGTCAAGGCTTTTAGTTGTAGGGTAATATAGCAGGCAAAACAGAAAGAAACGGAAGTAGTTCTGCAAAAAAACAAAAAACAAAAAAATTCTAGAGCAGAATGTTAATTTTCTACTCTAAATGAAGAACAAACTCTGATCATACAATGTTGGACAACTGGTACCACATACTTATAAACGCCTGGTTTCCATAAAATAGCTACATTCTAGTCACAGTGTTTTCACTGCTATTATTACACCATGGACTTATTCAAAGGTCCATGATTACACTGCGAATGTGTCCCCGACACAATCAGGTACACTCCCTGATTCTACCGACCAATCAGTGTTGTTGCAAACAAAAAAAAAAACTGTCGCTGATAGCACGTAACGATTTTATGGAAACAAGACTTTGAATAATATGACTAACTTTACTAAGTTTTTGGTAAGCATTGCCCGGTTAATTCTGACAATGAGCACATTATCAGAGATTGGTCAGAATTAGTACCGTATAATAAAGTTAAGCAATCACTGCGCCGTACGACAGTCGCACAACCTTCGGCTGACGAATCAAACTCCGCTCCCCATGAGTGTTAGGCAACGCAACGCCATCTGCCACTTGTCGGTGGCAGTCTGAACAGACTGTCATTAAAAAAGATCTGTTGCGCGCACATCGTGACATTGCTTTCTCTATAGAATCGCGTTGGCCGACGACCATCAGACACAGAGATTGCCCTGCTTTAAGCTTCAAGATATACTGTCTGTGTGATAAAATTAAAATCTCAAATTATTCATTAAAAAAATTCCATTGATAATTAATAAAGTATCAAGTAAGTTATTAACTGCAAATGAGAGTAAGATGGAATAATTGTGTTTGTGGGGCAACGGCGTAATCTGAGTGGCCAGTAAAATTTAAAATGACGCTCTGAACAGGTCCATGGCCTAATAAAAAAAATGTTATGTTAGCGTAACAGGCCCCAAAAAATAGGGTAGGTACATTAGGTCCAGATTTTTTTTCTCTTTTGCCACCACTCACCCCCTCACATACGGAAGTGTGCATAGGACAAGGCTAATCTAGCCTAGGGATCAACTCACAAGTTCTGTTTTTGTAAAGAAAATGCATTTCCGGTCATTTTTGCATTGTTTTTTTTTTTAATGTTGTTTAATTTTGGGTAAATAAAAATGTCTACGGTCGGCCAAATCTTTAGGGTCAGTTGGGTTACGCCAACATAAACAATTTTTTTTGGCTTTACTGTAGTTCCTCTCGTGGAAGCGCAACTACTTTTTACATCTGACTTTACATAGAAGCACCCCCAACGTAAAAGGCCAGGGAATGATTTGAATGGGTAGCTTTGCTGATTTTTGCAAATAAACAAATCAGATTGGCTTTTTAATTGGGCATTCAGTACTATTGAATTTAGCTTTTTGATGACCATTTACCATTAACCATCTGTATAAAGTTGGTGATATGAATCGCCAAGTGGTTAAGACAGGGGAGCTGGTTTGAACAGCATGCTCGCCTAATGGTCTGTGGTGGAACAAGTCTTCTCGAAAAAGGACTATAAACCGTAGGCCCAGTATTATACAATTTGGCTCATGTGCACTTTAAAGAACCCAGTACATTTTTTGAGATGAGTAGAGGGTTACCCGGGTGTACAGGTCCAATGGGCCCCTGCTGTGGACAGATGAGAGCAGCTGGTACCGTATAGCTTGGACACGAAGAGACCCTTAGGGAAAAAGCAAGTTACTGTAACAGCTAGTCCACGACAACGAGAGCTTTGAGACCGTTTTAGAATAAAGCTCTATATAGTAAATCTAACTACATTACATTGATATGTTCTGTTCAGATTGAGGGATTATCCGAGTAAAAGTCACGCCAAAGATTTGTTGTAACCAAAGTTGGTGGGTTATTACCGAGAAAACTATGGTATTATTAGCAAATAATATTGGGAGAGCATTAGCTATGTATTATATTAAGTGGCTTGGCAAAAAAAATTATGTTATCTTTTTTTAATAATAAATTCAAAGCTGCAAATTTTAAAGCAAGCCATACAAATTGTATTTTTCAAGCTCACTTACACACAGACAGTATATTTTTAATTCTAGGGGGTAGGCTGGTTTATGCCTCTGTGTGTGTGTGTGTGTGGGAGGAAGGGGGTGGGGAGTGATAAAGGCTGCAAAAATTGAGAATGCAGAACTAAATCCCTATTTTTTAATATTCTACCCCTCTTAGTGGAACTAATTTTTCCACCATGACGCAAAGGGTAATTGGGAGGTTCGTCCGCAGCCTACGCCCCTGAATTCATGGGATCAATTTTCATCCTTCATTGGTTAACAGGTTACAACACATGTACACAACGTATAACACCCAAGGCGCACGGAAGTATGTGATAACCGACCTAATAAAAAGCCATGATCAACTCAGCCTTCAAATCTCGGCTTCTGTTGTGTTATCAAGATTCTCTGCAATTCAACAGGTGATAAAAAACATCAATGTTATATTAATGTTATTCACAATGTGAAACAAGTTCTATGTATGCTATGCTAAATTGATTAAAAACACATTAAAATTCAAGAAACATTTTTGTTATCAACCTAATAGAAAGCTTCGATCAACTCAGCCTTCAAATTTTGGCTTCAGTTGTGTTATCGAGATTTTCTGCAATGCAACAAGTGATTAAAAAACATCAATGTTATCTTAATGTTATTCAGAAAGAGAAACAAATTGTATGCTGGTTAATTATTATACTCTATAGATTAAAAACACTTCATAAAAATCAAGAAACATTTTTATTATCAGTAGGTGTCACTTTAAATGTTATCTACACAAAAAATATAATTCTTTCTAAAACATGCTGATGCTCATTGAATTAAAAATTTTAAATAATAATAAGAAAAAAAACATAATAATAATAATAATTAATAATAATAATAAATTCATTTTCATTTCATTTATTCGTCTCAAAAAAACATTAAAATACTACAATACACAATAAAATAAACAAAGAGACAAGAAACCCAAAAAATAACATATAAATTTGAATTAAAGTATTTGAAACTCAACCACCAAGAATCAGTATCTGATAAATATAAAGTTATTTGACTATAATAGCATCCCAATATTATCATGCACAATATCTGCAAAGGTGTGTACCCAATATCAAGTTAAGGTGTGTTTACACTATTAAATTTTATGAGACAAATACCCATATATGGGTTTTGTATGACATCATCAAATCAAAGATATCTGTCATCTGAAAACTTTATAGCATGTACAGAGTATACAGTGTCAGCAATCAGATAAATACACTATTCAGATAACATTTTCATTGCATTTGGTTCTACAGGTAGCAATTAGGTCAAATAAGAAAAAAATTATTGTGTTAGCCAATTCCCAACCGAGTCGGTATTTTAGCTTTCTTTTTTTTCTTGAGTCCATCGAACATTTTTTTTTATGAGCAAATAAAGCTGGAATAGCCTTGGCCAGGCTAGCGGGGCCCAAGTCTAGCCTATCTTGCTGGATGGTAGGAGATGCGAATCCAAAATTGTTATATTTATTGCGTATTTTCCACTTTTTAGGCGTAAACACATTTTTGGTTGTTGGAAAAAAAAGTATTCCTACCAACCTACCCTTTTTTTTTTTATTTTCCCAAAAAAACGTGGCCAACTCAATTTTTTTTTTTTTGTTGGTCTTATTTGCGGTCTTTTTGCGGCAAAATCACTGCAGAATTTCCCTGACCAGTGGCAGTAATTGGGCAATGCTACTCTCATCCGTTGAATGGGTTTGTTTACATAATCAGGATTGGACCTTTCCTGCCAAGCCTACCTCTTTGATATTGTAGCTAAGGTCTGAATAGAGTATAGTTGGTTTGAATAACTTGTATAGTAATAATAATAATATATATATTATCATTATTATATATATTATATATTATTATTATTATTATATATTATATATTATTATTTTATATTTTTATTATTATAGTGTTAAAACAAACAAAACACAAATTACGATTCATATTGATATGAATACTATTTATTTAGTACATAAATAATATATAGTATATAGTATTTACTATTCTCATTTTATCAACTGTATTTTAATTATGAATTTACGGTATGTGGACATGTCTATGATGGATCATGCAAAATATAAGAAACTGATTAGAATTTGAATAACACATGGATATATTGTAACTTTTGTTATATTAAAAAAAAAACACACTGGCCACAACTTTTATGTAAAAAAATACTTGTGATTTATCCATATATGGATGTGACATGACATTACCATGCCCATATATGGTTCAATCAGACACACTTAGCGTGGACAAAGTTTTATGGACTAAATTTTTCACTTAACACACTTCTACCACACAAGTACACTATTAGTGATCAAATCTGAAGACTATGTAAGATATGCATTACTATATACAGCACATACTACAATACTAAATAGCATAAATCTATAAGAATACGAACATGAACATAGGTGACAACACAATGATAATAACAGGTAAAATGTACAATATTTGACATACCTGGTGATGTGGTGGAACTAGCAGGTGATGTTGGAGCACTGGATGGAGAGGTGGACCCTGAACCTATTAAAAAAATTTTTTAAATAGAATAAAATTAATACATTCATAAACAAATTCTGTGTGGAATAATGTGGCGGCCATTTTGTTTATAAGAATATAATATAAAAAGTAAACAACAAAAATACAACCTTTTTTTCAGGTGATAACTGAACCTTCACTCCAATTATTTCAATCCAATTAGATTTATTTGCCATTTGTTGAACAACATTGGAATTGCGTAATATAATGGCCACTTAATTTACAGAAACAATCACATATCTCAAAAACAAAAAAAAAATCAATAACAAGAACATAATCCAGGAAAAATAACATTTGATCATTCAACAGCCTGATAGCTGCAGGACATAAGTTTTTTTGAAAATCCAGCCTTTCTAACATTGACAGTACGGCATCGCTGACCACTGGCAAGTAATTCAAAGTCCCTCGACCCAGCATGGAATTCATCATTCATGACCTCAATCGTTCTTTTGACGATTCGATCGCTGTGGATGTCATTTGAGATCGTTTTGGGTCGTTCCAATGATCTGCGACGGCGCCCTGACAACTCTAAGAAGGCCATTTAAAATAAGTTTTAAAGTTAAAACAAATAATAAATATAAAAGATAAGTTCTCCACTACTCTGGCAAGTATAATGAAGTAACATATTTAAAATGTTCATGCTTTAACATTAAATTTATCAGCGTACCTCCATTGGATGTTGGACTAGTTGTACCGTTACTCGTTACGCCAGGCGATAACCTGTCTTCTGATAATGTTTGCTCCGACATCCTTTTCTTCATGGACACCTTTTTTCGTTTCTTTTTCTCTTCGGCTGAATTGTGGTGGGCGTGGGCTTTTGATAACCTTCTGTACGATGAAATCTGTGGGCAACGATTTTGTTATTAAATGTAAGTTCCAAAACTCTGAAATGTGTACAAAACAACCCCATGTCTAGCTCACTTGTTTTTCAATACATTTATACCCTTTTCACACTGGCACTATTTTGCAAATAGTAACAACTTGTAAACCAGGTTTGTGTAGTGTGAAAGTAAGTACATGTAACACTCTATGACATCTTGGGACACTCTGATTTGTCTTCTGAGGTGTCCTGAGTTGCTAAAGGTTGAAACATGCCGTAAAAGCTCAAATTGAAGCCCTGGGATTCTTTTTTTTTTAAACTTTGAATGGGTTTTTTTTTTTTTTTTTTGTGAACTTTGGATGAGCTTCTTTTCAAGATGGGCTTCCTTTTGAGGCTACTTTTTTTGCGAAGCAAAGAGGGGGCTTATTTTCAAAATGAATGCGGTAATTTTTGGTAATTACTACTATAAAAAAATAAATAGGTCCAATGTAACACTAATCTGTATCATGGAGTGTATTAACTGGAATTAAATCACCTAAACTTTTAACTTTTGTATATTCATGTACAGTGTATGTACTGTACTACCTTGAAAAGAAGCAATGGGCTTGAAAACTTTTCGAGGATAATTTTGCATACTAAAGAGGGTCTTCTTCTCGAGATTAAGCCCATTGGGCTTCCACTCGAGGTTTTTACAGTGTTCTGTTAGTGCGAAAGTTACAGATACAAAATATATTGATATTGTTCAATTTATTTCATTTACACTTGTTTCCAGACAAATCACAAAAGAACATACATTAAAAAACAGAACTGAGGACTGCTTTCTTTCACTTAATCGTTTCCTTTCTTTTCATTCTGATTCTGAATGAAAATTTGTACATGTGGGTTTCAAGATTGGGTCGATAAAACGTACAACTGACCTGTTTCTGTTCTTCTTTCAATCGTTTTTCAATTCCATTTTCTTTGCAAGCCTTGAGGGGTTCTTTAAGTTTGCTTGGAATTCTAAATTGCGGACGGTCTCCTCCTGGCATTGTTACATCACTAAATAACCTGAAAAATAAGGTTGGCTTATAACCTAGTCCTTTTCTCAATCTTTTGGAAGATTTATCAAAGTATCAACAGTGCTATTTTCCCTAGCAGGCGAACTCTACTCACTATAAATTATTTATAGTCATGCACTGTGGGGAGACTAGGGGGGAGGGGATATTTTAGGTTGGTTACCACACTATGAGTAAAATGCTCTGCAATCCCACTGTTTCTCCTTACTTTGGATGCTTAGCTGTATAACACCTACAGATGCTGAAATATCTCACTTAAGATCCTTCTTGGCATTGTGTATTTATGCAAATTGACTTTTTTTATTTATGTAAATTATATGCAACACCTGGGTCAGATAATTCATTATTCATTAGGTGAATTCCAAAGAAATGGAAAATATCCGGTCATCCATGTAACTATCCACAATAGACTTAATATTTTTGTATTTTCTTAATCTGACAAAAAAAAATCTCAATGAATATGTGGCAAAGACAAGCCAAACCAGCAACTCATCACATAAAAATCGATTCTTAATTATCAATACAGGATAAAAGAGTGATGTGAGCTATTAAATGGTAAAAGAATCATTTAAATCCGACATTTTGTTATGAAGTTACAAGAGTTCCAACCATCTGTTTAAAGAACAGTATTTGAGAAATCACCCTTCAAATTTTTCCATCTCAGGCAATTCTCGGGTAGAAACCATCACCAAATAGTTAAAAAAAGTTATTTTAACATTGAAAATGGGGAAAATAACAACACAGCATGATGTATAGATACAAAGGTTAGTTTAGTGCAATAAAATAGATTTTCTAAAAAATTGACATTTCCGCATGTTTTGGCCATTATCTCCGGAAAGAAGATTTGCAAGGAGTGAATCTTAAATACGGCTTGATGTCTGTAAGAATTGGCCATAATCCCAACTCTCTACCCCACACAACCTCTTGCCCAACCAGTTTTTAAAAAAAGTAAATACCACTCTAACTTACGGATTGTCAATCAGCTCATCTATACTGGGTAGCTTAGTTTTACAAGATTCTGTATTTAATATTGATTCCAAAACAGATTCTGGAAATGTGGAAAATAAAGAATTAACATTACTTTATTTTTTATTTTTCTAACAAAAAATATGGCATAATCAAAATCCATTGACAGGTCAATGAAATAAAACAACAATAGAAGTATATACTAAAAGGGAAGAAGCTATGTATTAAATATTTAGTTGTAGTGAAGGAATTTATGTTGAGTGTTGGTTTAGATGTAATTTTCCAGCTTCTGTTTGTTCTGCCGATGCTCGTTTAAAGTCAAACAACCATCGCTAAGAGTTAGGGGGAATAAGTAAGTGCTGCAAAGGGGCTCCTGTAGGACCCCCAGGAGCAGCTAAAATTTCTAATTCCTTTATGAAATAGAAAAAAAGAGGAAAAAAACATTAATTATTCATCTTATCTGCTAAAATTGAGGCGAGTTGATTGGCCTGGCGGTTAAATCAGGGGAACGTAACCTTCAGCTATAATATCGGTGCTGGTTCGTACAGCTCACTCGCCAATGGTTCCAGTGGTGGAACAAGTCTTTTTGGATAAGGACTTTAAACCGTAGGCCTAGTGTACGCATTTGTGTCTGACCGTATCAGACTCAAACCCTTCAAGTTCTAAAGGACCTGTTCTGTACATCCTTCGAGAAGAGTATGGGGCTACCCCGGTGTACTGGTCCAATCATTTCCTTGTTGTTTAATGGATATGCCACCTAGGATATTGATTAAGTTCACTGGCATATCCTTGGCGCTCGTGCCTAAAGAAATGAAATGAAAAAATGAAATAAAATAAACCAAACACTAGTGACATTACAGTACCAACAAAATATGCAATAGTATGATAAACCTATTACTTACTAATAGACGGTGGAGTTGTGTGCGGGAAGTTGTCTTTTGAAGCTCCGTTGAGCTGCTCACCAAACACCATTTCAAAGAGCAAATGACCAAAGCAGTAAACATCAATTGCTTCCGTTGTCTAAGAAATACGTTAAAAAATATCAACAACAACAAAATGAAGATAATTGTAGCACAAGTTCTCTAAAGCAGGTACAAACAGCGTCATACAGCGAGTCAAAACTCCATTACCTGTGAGCGCTAGACGACGCGACGCCATCCGCTGATTGTCAGTGGCAGGCTGAACAGATTGTCATTAGAAACGATCCACTGCACGCTCATTGTAACGTTTTGTTCTCTATAGAATCGCGTCAACTGACGACCGTCGAGTGTAGTGAGTGATAACAGTTAAAAAGATTTATTCGAGTCTTCAGACATATTGAAATTTATTTAATTGTCTCACCACCACAAATAAATCAAATTCAAAAATATATATAATCTATAATACAAAATAATAAAGATATATAAATGACTCAGAGAGTATATGTTATTTGTTAAATGGCCAAAGGTCGCTATAGCTTTATACATCTGTGCAGATCCTAACAAAAAAATCAAATTACATACTCACATTAATCTTTTTAAATTGAGTAAAATACATCCTATAATATGATGGTAATCCAAGCAGACTGTTTTCAATATCGAGAAGTCGACAGGTGTTGCCTTCTAACATCACATTCGATGCATGCAAGTGGCCATATGGAAGGCCTTTCTCATGTAGGAACTTCAATGCCTATAGATTAAAAGTAATAAAAACAGAAGTTGATAATATATATTGAAACGTATAAAATGAAAACAAGAAATTTGACTGTTTAAGTTGCCGAAGTAATGCAAAATCCAAAGTTAAGATCCAACGACTCTGCCCCCTGACCCCAGTTAGTCTACCTTTGCACATCAACACATGCCAATCCTGTACAAGGCACTAATTTGTAGCCCCCCAAACTGCTCCTCAACCTTCAGTGGAGATATACCTTCTCCAAGGTCAATTGTGAAAACCAACAAAAAAATTAGGCAAAAATATAGGCAATGATGCTTACCTCAAGTATCTGTCTACCATATGTTTTAATGTTCATTAAATTGAATTCTGTGAAAGACTTTGGTTTGCAATATTTTCTCAAAAAGTGAAACTTTGGTTTAGCCTGTAAATTAACCAATAAAAAAAGTTATCAAAAACAATTTATTAAGTATTAATATCAATTAAACTTCATTTGAGTAAAATAAAAAGTTATGTTACATACAATTTCTATACTCAATGAATTATAGTATTTACTACTTCTATTGCTAACTCTAATCACACCTAACCATATTGTTGGGTTTTTTTTGGTTTTTTTTTTAAATATTATTTTTGTCACAATGCATAAAATATTAGTAATGAACATCTGTCTATGAAATTTGTTGCCATTACTGTAATACTAAACATATAAATAATATTAGTTAATGCACAGTCAAGACTTTATTAATAGATCTGTTAATGTCCTATCCATAGGGGATATATCGCTAATCCACCTGTAACTGTTAAAAAGAGATTGTAGACTACACAAGCGGTATGATATTGGTCTATGATCAGTTTGGCCACAGTATTATGTATGGTGCGCCTTTGGGGTCATAATAGCTTTAATCAATTACTCAAATGGCATCCTACTGATTACAGTACATTGCATCAACATTGAGATATTACTTATCAAAATGTACAGATACATCCTTTATTTTGCTGTAGTCAATAAATTACAGTATTTACCATTAAAATGAACTAAAAACTCAATAATAGTCACTTAATGCCTGGTATCAAAAAAGAGTAAAACTGCAGGAGGTCCGACATTCCTTACTACAACAATTTAGAGGGCATTCTACAAAAGAATGAAAAAGTTGTTCGTATCGAACACATGCTACTAGTGAAGAACGCTTGTTTGAATTTGGAACGGTATTTGCATCGGATTCAAATTATAATAGGGCTCGCGGTAGTACATTCTTTTTCATTACATTCGCATATATGCAAAAACAGAACAGTCAAATCTTTTGCAATTCGATACTAATTGCTAGTATTAAACTGGTAATCAATCTATTAATAACACAATGAGCTAGTTCTTTAGCGGCCTCATTTGCAGCTGCAGCGTTTCATACTTTGTCGTGACAAACCTGGCAGCTGAAAAAAATTAAACACCAAATGAAATTTTCTGTCGCAATAGGTCTCTCTACGATGAGATCGACATAAATAAAACTACCTTGCAGATGAAATCTCTTAATGTGCTTGTTAATTTTAAATTTAATTGTATTAAAATACTTTAGGTATCCAGATTTTCAAGTACTTCTTTAATTGTAAAAATAGTGAATTCAGTATTTCTACCTTTGTTTAAGAAATTGAAATTGTTAGATGTTTTTAAGTTACAAAAATTATGTATCTACTATGTTTGATCTCTAATATGATAAATTCTCTTAACATTTAAATGAATATTTTACTCTTTTCACACATGTCCCCCTAACACAAACGCAAAAATTAATATCAGTCGAAGGTGATCACTACATCATCAGCAAATAATTTGTTTTGGATAATAAAGAAGAGAGTTCTTTATACAGAAGAAACACAAGGCTGTGTTGAATGAAGTGCTTTTGAAAAAGATGACTAATGAAATAAATATTATTTAAATTTTCTATATATTTTCATTTCTTTTCATCCAATCACAAGTTAAATCTCTAATTGTGGCAAAGACAAGCCAAAACAGTCACTCATTGCAAAAATCGATTTTGAGTTATTAATACAGGGTTTTCATTTAAATCACACATTTCATTATGAAGTTACAGGAGTTTAAACATATAGCTGTTTAAAAAACAATATTTGAGAAATCAGAATTCAAAGTTTATGATTTCGTCCATTTCTCAGACAAAAACTATCACCAAATCGTTAAAAATTGTTGTCTTAACACTGAAAATGGAGAAAATACAAGCATAGCATGATATATAAATATATAAATTTCAGTTTAGTGCAATAAACTAGATTTCAAAAATGTTGACATTCCAGCATGTTTTGGCTATTATCTCTGAAACAGGATTTGCGATGAGTGACTGGTTTGGCTTGTGTTTGCCACATTTACGCATGAGTTGTTGAATACGACATTGTGTGTTTAATACGTTTACGTCTCTTTCCTTCCATATGCACTGTACTGCACATCATGTAGATGAATGTAAATGTTATTTGTTATTATGTTAAATGTTTGTAGTGGATAATAAACCCATTGATGGCTTTCAAAGCGAATAAATATTGAACTGAATGAATAGGTGTTTTTTAGCATAGTTGGAAATAATTCATTTGGTTTGTACTGTAGCTACAATGTAAGAATCACATGAATAGGTGTTTGTTCCAATGAACAGAGCAACAATTTAAAGTGAACAGAGATCTACTCGGATAAAGACCACTGTTCCAATGAACATACCATAAAATCTCAAATAGAAGCCCAATTTTCTTATTCTCAAGAAAAAGCTCATCTTGTTGAAGATTTTTCCTTAAGTTTGCAAACGTAGCCTTGAAATGAAGCCCATCAAAAAAAAAAAGACAATGGGCTTTTTTTCAAGATAGCATAAGCTTCTTTTGCAGTACAGACACTGTACATGAATTTCAAAAAAAATAAAATAAATTAAAAACACGCTTGGTTTATACAGTACTTTACTGTACTTTAGGTGATTTTAAGCCGGTTAATACAATCTATGATAGAAACTGAAGTTACAGTGGCCCCCACTTCTTGTTTTATAATAGTAGCAATTCCAAAAATTTACAGCTTTCATTTTGAAAAAGAAGTGCCATTTTACTTTGCAAAAGTAGCCTTGAAAATAAGCCCATCTCGAAAAAGAGACCATCTCAGTAAGAAACTCAGGTCTTCTATTCGAGGTTTTACGTTATCTGAATCGTAGGAACATCAACCCCAATGCTCCAGTTCATTTCATCCCAAGATATTGTTGAATGATGTCAGCATAGTGTTTCTTTACATCAGCTACAACTCGCACCAAACATCTTATAATCACAAGATAGCGTTTTCCCCGATTTCTGCGTGCAAATTCAGTAACAATGCAGCGTAGAATGCCATCCCGCAATTACAATTACTTTTGAACTTTGACATCTATGCTTTACGTGCAAAATCTGGAACAACCACCACAGTAAAAAGTAGGACTCCCTCACTCAATTACAATTACTTCTAATGCTTCTTTTTATACGCTATCTTTTACGTTACGTTATACGTTATCTATTATTATAAGACCTTTGACTCACACTTACTTACCCATGCCAGAACTTGTTTTACTTTGGGTTGATCTTTAGGTCTCACTAAGAAGTAACTCTTCCTTAGCCGCCATCCAATATCCTTTAACGGTTCCACAACTTCCCAGTGAGGCTCCGACCGGAAAAACATGGAAACATGTTGGAGAGCAACCTCTGCAAGAGAAATTTTATTTAATTTAAATATTGTCATCACATAAAACAATTATTAACAATTGTTAACATAAACTCTAGTGTAAAGTCTTATTAAATGTAAACAAATACAATCATATGTTATTAAATTGACGAAAGTTCATTAATACAATTATCAAATGTTATTAACATTTATAACATCCCAGAAGATACAACTTGAAAAAAATTATTGTTTTATTGATCAAGTAGTTTTTTTTGTTTTTTTTTTCTTTTTGCTAGTCAGATGATTTCAATGCAAGTAAAACTAATTACCACCAGCCAATGTTGATGATGCAAATAACATACAAGTTAGCTAAATTTAGGCTTTTATTGAACAGAGAAACTAATTTTGGTCTTTTTTTTTTATTTTATTCAGTTTTAGGCACTACTAGGGCCAAGGACATGCCAAACAGTGAACTTAATCACTCTTCAAAGTGGCAATCCCATCACAAGACAAACATACACACAAGATGCTCTACATAAAGCAGGGTTTTCCTTAAAATCGCTACAATGTCTCCTGTGTTTTCAGTGCAATCGTTGTTGGGGCAGCCTCTCCGACGCAATCGGGAAGGCCCTCCCCCCAATTCGACCGACCAATCAGCATCACCAAAAGCTGTCAGTGATAGCGTGTACAAATTGTATGAAAATGAAGCTTAAGAGGTCTCAAGCAAATAGGTCTCCATAATATGTGCTCTATAGAGTACTACAGTTTTTACGTCACAATACCACGTGATACTACTTCGTTGCTATCACTGCAAAATGCGTTCAACCGGACGCCATTTGCGCCACTGACAAACCATTGATCCCAATTTCTAACGTAATTATTCAGATGTTGTATCCTACTGTTTCTTTTTAAATTCTAATTGTTGATTAAATGTGTTTTGAATGATATTACTAATATAATGCAAGCTTTTGTGTTTTTCGTACATTCTGATGGTAAAATATTAGATTTTAAAATGCCTATTCCAGAAAGCATCATCATCATTCAGGTGTAATGAACGGTAACCAACGTCTGTTGACAACAGAGGCACAACGACACGACTGTGGTAGTCTATAAGTGAAGCATTATTATTATTTACTATTATTATTATTATTATTATTATAATACCTATTAGTATTATCATTATCGCCGCTACACTACACTATTATTATTATTATTATTATTATTATTATTATTATTATCACATTATAGTGATTAACTTCAGTATTAGAAATCCTTAGCCTACATGAATAATGACAAATTATATAAAAAATAAAAAAAATTAATAAAATTAAAAAAATTATTTTTTTAGTTACACATACAGTATATAGTCATAAATGGCTACATGTAATGTTAAAAATAAGTTATTTGCAAAAATATTTTGACATAACACATAAATGAAATACTTGCTAATCTCTCATCTATTTTCTCTATGATTAGACCACTGTATTAGGTCTATTTTGAAACAGCACCACCAAAGTCTAGGAAACTTCCAGCGGCCTATACTAGCCTGAGCAGCTAGCTATTGCTAAATAGAGTGACGCGCGCATACTAGTAACTACGTAGCGCGAAGTGTGTAGGCCTCTAGAAGTCCCCTAGTGGTAATTGCCAGATTATTGGAAATTTTCCTTTCAAATTTCACTAAAATGATCTATAGAATAGCCAAAAAAATTTAATGATCTTTCGGAAATTACAACAAGTGTTACGGATATTGACTAAGGTGTAGGCTTCTGAGGACACCATAGTTTTGTTGATACTCCACCACAAAGGGAAGTAATAGGAAGACTGCAGGATTGTTCAATAATGGAAATTGCAAATTAGAGGTTAATGACGTCCTTAACCCCAGCTGGGCAGTCATACTTATCATGATCACTGCAGTTCAAAGTATTTACTTAACAGCTGAACACATTCAACACATTAGGCAAGACTTTTTTCATACCTTGTTTCGCGAACTTATTGTTTTGAAGATAGTAAGAGGAAGGTAAAAAAATAAAGATAAATTTGGTGTTCTTACTGTACTTTAGCAAATGGTTTTACCAAAAATTTGAAAACTTATTTGATCTCCATCCATGCACATGTTTATTTTTATATTATTTAAGTAATTTTACCTATATTGTATGTTTAATTGTATATGATTTGATGTGTGTGGACAAATTAAATAAACAATCTTCAATATAATTAAAAATTTAAAATAATAATAATTCTTTTTTAATAAATTTTGAGTCTGTACATGACCTAACAATAAACGGTATTTATTTGAAATTATAGCATTGGAGGTAGTCAATAGATAGAGGGACTTCATACTAAGTGCTAAAAATTTAAGAATTCTTAAAGCCTACACTATCACAGTTGTTAATGATAACCTTATTGTAGCCTGGTTCTCACGAGAGCCCTAGTATCGTATCGGGAGTTAACCGTTAGCGCTAATCGTTAGCACCTGCGTGAGAACGCCCGATAGGTTAGCACTATTTGGATACCGCTAACGGTTAGCAAGAGCTATCAGTTAGCAAGTTGAGCGCGTTTTTATCATCAACCAATCACATGTATGCATTTACAATTTCTACTTTCTTATTGGCCAGTGATTCGATCATCATAATTTTGGTATCCTGATCGGGATTTTCTCGTATGGACGCACGGCAGCTAACAGTTAGCAGCAGCCGTGTGAGAACATAGCCTCAGTGTAATATTAAAAATTCTTAAAGCCTACACTTAATCACGGTTGTTAATGATAACCTTATTGTGTGTTAATATTAATAATTGTTAAATATTCTACCATACAGTAGTCAATTGTAGGCTCTTGAGTTCAACCATTATTTACTTTATGTGCATTATACTAATGGGAAAAAAAACCACAATGGATCTTTTATGGCAAGATTTACAACCAAAAAACTCCAATAGCCACTCTGTCATGTAAGGTTACCGGTATCATATTGATAGTAGTCTAAAAACTTCCTGATCTGGTTCCAAAAAAAAATTATTTAAAAGGCGTACGTGCGAATTGTTGGTGACAGAACCAAAAAAACATGTATTGTGTCTTGTAACTCTCTGAGTGGTCCGGAAACTAAAATTTGGTAAAAGGTCAAATTTTTATCCACATAAATTCCTCATATGCTCAAATTTTTTAGTACTGTATGTTGTTAAAAATGCTAGTTCTTGTGCATGAGTTAAACATTTAAACTTAATGTCTTTTTTTCTATTACTTTTGACAAAAATGCTCAAGGTTTGATATGAAATTTTTAATATCTTAAAAAGAAAGTGGGTGGGTGTGTGTGCCTTTCATTTTCCCCCCCTCGAAAGTACTGCAAGGTTACAAAGTGGGCCCAATTTAGGCACAAGTTGGGCATACAAGATGCTTGTCTTCCCAGAACGCTAGGATTGGAAGGCAAATATCTTAGCTATCCGCATTGGACAATAAAATTTTCTATTTGGCAACTTTCATTTCCATCATTTCTGTAATTAATCTTGAAACGTCTTTATTGCTAAGTACAAATTTAGTTTATTTTGGTGATTAAGATGCATGCCCTCCAGTTTCAGGGTCGTGGGTTTAATTCCTGTCATAATTGTTGTCTCCCATATTGAGACTGAGTTTGTGTAAATCATCGTATGTGTTTTGTAGGACAGTGATATTCACTATTGACAATCCTTGGTGGATGTGTTGTGTGCCTAAATATTTTTATTTTTTTTTATAAATTAACACTAAAAAACATACACATTCAGTACTGTACATATTTTTTTTTTTAATCTTTCTAACATGTATTCAATGGCAGATCCAGGAATTTGAAATAGAGATGGCCCAGGAAGGAACTCTGAGAGATGGAAGGTACCACCGCAGCCCCACCATAGTTGGGGCTGAGGTCACCTCTAGAAGGCCAGAAATGGCATTCTCAGACTTGAATTTTGAATGTAATTTTTTTTTTTCTCTATTTTTTTTACAATTTTGAAAAAAAATTAGGGGTGGGAGCTGGCTCCTCCCCCCTTTGAATCTGCCACTGGTATTTGGGGATGTGCAGTACTGAGTATTCAGCCCAGGGCCATGCCAATTTTGGGCAAGGCATCATTTCTGATTGAGTTTCCTGAAGCAAATATCTTTTGAAACAAATTTTTAGAAAGGGTTTCATTACCATGAAGATCTGTTGGGTAACTTGACGGATCTAGAAACTTGCAAACGATGAAGTTGGTCGCGACCATATGGTTTCGTAGCAGCATATTCAAGTAATTCTGCAATCCGGCCTGCCGTTCTGCAATGAACTCGCGCTCCATGTTGCCGAACATCCTCTTGGGCGGTAATGGGAATTCGATTCCAGTAATCTTAAGGCAATCATTTAAAGTCACGAAGTCACTGTATCTTCTATTTATCTGCAGAGAAATAAGGCTTTAATATATGATGTTTGTCTTATAACACCATGCTTGTGTTTCTCATTATTAACATATACTTCACTCCTTCCAATGAATCAAATTGGGGCAGTTCTAGGCAGAAATGGGGGTTATCCAACCTTCCCCTAAAAAAAAGAAAGAAGAAATAGGGGTAAATGATACTCTAAAACAAGCTATTTTCCAGTGTTTATTGACAAGTATTTCTAAACGAAAATCTTAAGTAGTAGTCTGTGCTTTGTATGCTGAGGAATTTATGTGATCCTTTGTAAAACCTTATCTAGCCTAAAATTTATAGTGTGTCAAAATCACAGTTTGTGGATGGAAGACTCTGATGCATACCTAAACAGGCCATAGGCATGCAGGGGCCTAAGCCTAGATTTCTTAGAATCTAGGTAGTATCTTTTGGAGCATTAGCAACTCATTATGGCAAAATTCTCAAGATCAATTTCCAATGAATTTGGTATAGCTTACATTCCAACCAACATTATTCAAACATCAAAAGTGCTGTACTGCAAAAACACTCCCAAAAGGCTACATGTTTTCCAATTTTACCAAGCGTCACACACGCGCTGCCTTTTTACAATTTATACCCACTATACGTCACAGGACCAACCTAGGGGAATCGGTCTATTACTACAATACTACACTAGTTAACCACTCCAGGCTGGAGTAACAATGTGAATAGAATTTCTTTAACTAACACAAAGAATACATCTAGACCGTATCAGACTCAAACCCTTCAACTTCTAAAGGACCTGTTCTCTATTGTAAACAAACATAACAACTGACATCTTATTTGTCACACAAAATGCTTGTGTTTGCATTATACATTAATGCTGCCATTTTGTGGTGCCCTAGCAACAATAGGCATTTTTCGTTTTGACTACGCGGCCAGTCTACTACGAACTAATGGACCGTGACGGCAACGCCAAGACACTGTTCGCGTACTACACCAAGAGCTGTTTTCGTTTTTCTAAGGCGACTACGACGACGCACCACACATACGTAGGCCTACCGAGAGGAGTTAGTCGACCATGGTTTTATTACCAGGGAACAATGTTCCCTTGTTTTATATTTGAAAAAAGAAATGTGAATAATAACATTAGTCAAATACAAAATAAAAGTTTCCAGAAAACTCTGAGTGATGTTTCACTGTTGGCATACAGGCTAGGCCTAGCCTAGGTGTCAAGAGAGTCGGGAACCGGGAGAAAAGGGGTGTCAGGCCTGCTCAGGCAATTTGCCAATTAATGCAACGATGATGTACAAATAAATATACATAACATTTTAAAACAGAGGTACAGTATATAGCAAGGCTTGATACACAACATCATGGGCGCAGATGCCCTAGCTAGGGGCACCAGATAATGTGTTTTCTCCTAACCGAAATCCACCCTCCCTGACAAGGCTGGGCTAGCCTAGGCCTAAGGCTAAGAGGCCCCTTTTTTCACTATCCACTGATTTACCTAATTATATGTTGTGGCTATTCCAAAATTCCTCATTTATTGTATGTATATAAATAGGCCTTTATAAAACATTTATTTACTCACTTGTTTTAATAATTGATTCATTATTGAACGAACAATGCTCGATCGCGGATGCGATGAAAATCGCAACCCCCAACAAAAAAGTTACCAGCAGTTTGCCAAACAATCTGGTGATCTGATTGGTCAATATTAGGGTAGTCGCCACTACGCCAAATTCAGAAATTGCGGTAGTCGCGGAAGCTGTCACAACGCTGATTTAGCCAGTAAGGTTTGTGAGCATGCGCAGATGTCTGTTACACTCTATTAGTTCGTAGTAGACTGGCCGCGTAGTCAAAAAAAAAAATGCCTATTAAAAGGGGAGGAGCTTTAGCGAACAGGGTTGCAGCTAAAGAAATATTAAGGTGAGTGATTGATATTTCTAGGGTAGCTGTATGATAACAATGGGTAAACTCTAATTAATAAGAGTGGATTTTAAGGATGAAAAAGTGGGTTAATAAGATTGGGTGGAGGTCCATGAAATTTGCTTTAGACTAGGTGGCAAACTTTAAGGCTGCGTGGTCCCATCCACATAACTACATCCCTGAGTGAAAGATCCATCAGGGCAAACACGATGTATTCAACATTAACACATTTTTATTAAATGTTTTCTTCCTAGGGGTTTTTTGACTCCAATCAAGGCAGTATTTAGTTTGACTCTTATACATTACAACACAATGTGAAAATGGTAATTAATAGATTCATGCATTTCATTCAAATAAAATATAACATATAAAAATAAATATTATTTTGATAAAAATTGCTTTACCTGCCAGTTATTTTCAGGAGCAGGGCCCCTCTGGACTCTGATGACATAATCCTAAAAAATTAAAAGAAACAAATTACATTTTAGCAAAATGTGGTGTCGTGACAAAAAAAAAAGTGTGTTGTACTCTAGGTCAATTTGAAATATTCAAGAAAATATTATGAAGTGATAGTTTGACCATTTTTGGGTTTCAATGTTTATAATAAGTTTAATACAATAACATTAGTTTTTGATGCACATTTGGTAGGAAGCATTTTTCTGAATTGATAGAAAAACCAACACAAAATGTATCAGTTGTGTTAGTGGCTTTTGCTAAACTGTTGATGAAATACTTTAATATAGAAGATATGTTTTGAAAACATTGATTGATTGATTTGAGTGCAAAGTGTACATAAAATAATATTACACTGTCAATTTATTACACAGTTAAATATGACTGTGTTTTTTTGTGAATTTCCTTGCATTTTCTGGTTATTCACAACTCAAAAATATAAGCAACTTTTCAATGCCGCATACTAGTGGTGGACAACGAGAGTTGTTGGTTTTGGTTTCAGGGAAGCACAGACACGAAGAGACACTTAGGGGAAAAGAAATTCACTGAACGAGCTACTACTAGTCCAAACTATACTACATCATTGTAGTATGTACAATAACATCTTTCAACTACGTACACCTCCATCCAAACAGAGTTCGAAAATTCGTAATTCAGAGAGTTCGAATTTTCATAGTATCTCAGTGTGCTGAGGTTTGGCCTAGGCCTATGTTACAAAGTATAGGGCTAGATAGGTCTAAGCCTTGCCGTAGGAGCAAAATTTTGTCACAAAAAATTACTTTGATTTTACTGTTTTCTGCTACAAAATAATACTTTACAGAAGCCAAAATTACATGTGCTCACTGTGAAGTATTCATTTAAAATGATTTCCAAATGAAAACATGACCAAATAATTGGACAGAACTACTGTAGTGTTTCTCTTCATAATAGTGCCCCCAGTGAAAAAAAAGTGAGATTTACTGTTGTACAGTATGCCTGATCAGGCATGCACAGCTCAATTGTAATGTATCTCGGTTGAAAACGATCGTTATTTCTTGCTTTAAATTTAAATAGTTTTATGTCACTTTATATGTTTTCTTTCCTAATATTTTGTATTATTTTTAAAGACTTTTAAATACGATTTTAAGTGTTTTTGTAGTTTAAAACTATCGTTTGTAAAAACATCATCAGTGCAAATTGGGTTCATAAAATCGAAAGTTTGTAATTGGGAGGTTCGTAATTGGGAGATGTTTACTATACAAGTATCCACTAGATGCTCATACCAATTTCTAATTACTGGGCCTACAACCGGAAATACGTTAATAAATAATTTAATTCTTTATTGGGCTTCATTGTAATAGGAAATCGGAAATTCCGGCTGGGCTCCTGGGGGGACCCACAGTAGCTGCAGTGCAGCGCCACCAATCTTAACTACAACATAACAGACACATACAGATACTCTCAATATGAGGGTGAATTTAAATTGACGAGGAAAATGTTGTAGTTTTCATCTAATGAAATATTAGGAGGTGGTTGGTTAGTGACTTTTAATGAGTAGATAACACAGTTCCTTTTTGTACACTGCAAAGCTTCTATTCAGCATTAACGGTAACTCTATACTACTGTACATAATTACAATTGACTAACTCCAGGTTTCTCAGATGTTAAAGAACGTTTAGAGTGGAGTCAGCTCTTAATCTCTGAACTCTCTCTGTCTGCTGTACTGTTCGTCTGATACTTCTACTGATCAAGTGACGTGGGGTGTTTGCCTATTATACTCAAGGTACTGGGGGTGTGTCAAGATTAAGTCACCCCATACTTTTAGAGTTTCTGATTGGATCATAGAGCAATTCTTTCTCTATGACTTAATAACTTGTTTACCAAAAAGTTGCTAATTAAGATATATTACAAACTTCATGACTTTGGCTCAAAACTGTCAATTATGGAGGGGGAAATGTTAATGTCCAATTGTCCAGGGGTGTCACTTTAGAATGACCAATAATCTATCAATAGTTAGTAAACCCATTTAGGTCTATGTTGAAACCAAGTTTGAAATATTCAACAAGTTTAGTATCAAGTGAAAGGTATCAATAACAAATTCCAATATGCTTCATTCATTCATTTATTCGATCAATAATCAACAAACAGTACAGACATAAAATTCAAGGAGGAACAAGGACAAAGAGGATGAGAAAAACGTTCAAATCGCAAAAGGTCAAAGGAAAAAGGTTAAAAATGATTAAGGATAAATATTAAAACATCAAGAATAAAATGTTTTATTAAGATAATTACAATTAAAACTTACAAGATGTTTCTTAACAAATTTACAATAGAGAAAATCTGGATAAAGTCTCGTAAAAATTGTTAAAATTTGTTTATGATTTTTTTCAGTCCAATTTTTAAGAATTGCCCCATCTGGGATGAATAAAGAATATGAAGATTGAAATTTTTAAAAAAGACATGAAAAGTGTTGATTATGATCAGGATAGCCCAAAAAATCAATTACATAGATTTATTTCCATTGGGGTCCTGAGAACATGTAACAAAAACAACGAGAAAATCTTGGGAGGCAAAAGAGACAAAGAGATCAGAGAATTATAACCCTACCACTGAATGTTGACTGTTGACCCTAATGAATTTATCTGAAAGGTAATTTGGAGCCCGGGAGTTTATTATTTTAAGTACAGTGTTAAATTTTATTTGAGCAACTCTGTCTTGGATGTTTAACAGACCTATACTATCAAGTTCCTTGTGTCCAATATGAGATCTCGGTCCTAAGTTTAAGATAAATCTCACCATTTTATTTTGCATGAGGGTAACTTTTGATATGTCGATATCATGTCATGAGCACACTTCAGTAATTATTTAATCACAATCTGTTTACTAAAGAACTAGGTTGATAGGTTGATGTCCTTGGTTCTAAGGTTACACCCTAAGGCAGTTTCTATCTATCGCGGTAGACTTGTATGCAATGTGATATGCAAATTTTCTGCATATACAGCCTTGTGTCTACCGCGGTGCGGTAGATTAAGGCTTACCGCGGTAGGATAATTTGGCGACGCTCCCTTAACCAAATGATAACAATTGTTGTTTCCATTTACATATTACCAAATTTGTTCTGTTTATAATATTAATAATACAAAATAAAAAATAAAAATATGGTATTATTTTCATATTTATATTTTCCATACAATTATCAATATTTTTATAATTACTTATACACATTGTAAGCTTCTTTTATATTAATTCATAAAGTTTATGTTTATAAAATACACAAATAAATGGAAATGTAGTAAAATATAATTTATAATTTATAATTTATAAATACATAGGCAGACATGTTAATGGCTGTATCAGGCTTCTTTTGATAAAACACAACAGAAATGCATAAAGAATATGACGCAACCGAAATGATCTGTATGTCGTTTAGGACTACCCCGAGTCGTTTCTGCCCAAAAACAAAAAGGCCGAATCAACTCCCGGCTGAAACGACCCGGATTTGATTAAAATGTGCACGAGCGAGTAGGCCTAGGGCCTAGCCCTAACCCCCTAAACAGTTTGCAAATTGTCAGTTTATTTTAAAACTGTGCAGCATTCTCCTTATTGCACAGTTTGCAAACCGTGCAGAGCCTTGTTTGTAGTACCTAGATTTCAAACTGTGCAAAGAAATCCATGCACAGTTTGCAAAGTGTAAAAGATTTTTTAATTTATATTTTGAGCTTTTTGTCATGTCTAGTAGGCCTAGCTAGGCTAGACAGCCCAAAGGCTAAGCCCTGGTCCTACTTTAGTTATGGCCTAGGCCTAACATAAGGACGATTCACAAAACGCTGAATGTTGAATATTTATTATTTTGGTTAGTAGTGTAGGCCTAGCCTACGCTCACTACCTAGCCTACGCTTACCGGGAAGAGATTGGCAGAGCCCGGGTTACCGTAAGTCAAAAGAGGGTGTCATAATAACAGTCATACCGTCATACTGTACTTACCGTATGTGTTTGAACATTCTGAGCCGCCTCAATCAAACATGTCAATGGAACAGTATCATCAAGTGTCACTCTTGTAGATTTCTTTTTCTCAAAAACTGCCATTTTCACTTTTGAGCAACGTATGTTTTAGTTTTCATGTTTCTAACTCATTAGTGTCGAAGGTCAGTGCTCGCACGAGATACGGCTTACGTCTCTTCGATCTCACGTCTCACGTGACAAAAGACAATTACGTAATAAGTTAGTTAAGCATTCGCGCGGGTAAACTGAAAAGGTGGGGATGGAAAGACCAGAATTTTCTTCCTGGAATGATGGGGAACAATAGGAGAGGGGTAGAAATTACTAATTTAATGCCTTTCACGGGGATAAATACCCACACATGAATGTCTTCAAAGGGATGCACTATATGAGCTAAAATTAAAATCAATTAAAAAAATTAATAAAAACGTAGTTAAAATTAAAATATAAAGTAAAAAAAAAAATTAAATAACAATGAACAGAAGGCACAACATGCTAAAAAGAAGTGTAAAACGCAAAAAAAAAGATCTAAGCGATAAATAGGCCTAAGCGATAAAAACATATAAAAATAATATTATAGCTAATAAATGTTAAATCTAAAAAAAAAAATCTATAGGTCTATTGCTTTTATTTACTAAAATCATAATAACAGTTTATGATTAGGCCTAACGGCCTATCATTATTATCATTATTATTAATTATTATATAAAAATTATGTGTTAAAATCCAAAAGTCGATGCTGAAAAGCATGAAGACTAAGTAGAAGGTTGTCTGCGAGACAAGCAATTTATGACGAGATTTTATCTGTAAATCACCGATTTTTCCGGATCTGATTCTGGCTAGAAGTATACTTCGATTTAAAATACAGTAATTAAAACAAACTTCGGAAGAAAAAAAAAACTTTGATATGTACGCTCACAACAGATTTTTTATGCCCGTTTTCTGAGTTATTCTAATCTGTATCATGAACCGCGCCCGAGTTTTTTCGAAAAAAAAAAGTCTTTGTATCTTGGAAAAATCAGAATCAGAATTGTACATTACATGACTTTTTTCCGGAGCTTGGATTTATGTAGTTCAATTTTTGAGCTTTGCTTGGTTTTTATTTATTTATTTTTTTAATTTTTTTTTATCCACGGATCTCAAATCAATTAAACTGATAGTGAGTTGGTTTTCGTTGAAAGTCTACATTCTGAATTAATTTACTAAACCTAATCAACGCTGCATGTACCTATAAGAAACCCTCTTGGTTTTTTTTTGTTTTTTTTTTTTTTTTATCTGTTAGATAAGATAAGATAAGATAAGATTTATTGGTTCTCTCTTTTATAACAGAGGAACACTCTCGCGCAGGAGAGGTTCGACCCGTACAACAGTTACAAAACAACAACTGACAATATATAAAAATGAATTATTGAAAAGATAAATGAGTAAAGAAAAAATAATGGACAAACAAAACAAATGTTACTCTCATTATTCTGTAGTAACTAAGGAATAACTTAATGTACAAAAAAAAAGTAGAGAATTCAATTACAGAATATAAAGTAAATAAATAAATAAAAATGACAAGAAATATAAGTTTATAAGTACAGTAAATAACATAAAAATTAAATATTGGTGGTAATGTTTTTCATTAGTTCAGTTCTTTCAGTCATTGCTTTTGTTAAATATGTTTTACAATGGTTATCAAATATGTTACAAATTTAGAGAATGTTTTTGAAAAGGAGCAATTGAACGACTAGGTTAAATGTAGCAAACGATGTATTGATACATTGAAATTGATTGCAACATGGTAACATAATCTTATGGAGCAATTACGTTTGAAAATGAAAGTTGAAACACATCCATCATTCTATTAAGTCTTAAAGTGGTTTTAGGTTGTCTGTGCCACGTGCCGATAACGACCCTCATTTATTCCAGATTTTCAATTTTAATTTTATAGCAAAATTCCCTAAAAAATGTTTACAGATTTTAACATGAATTTCGTGTAATTCCATTTTTATAAGCTCAAATATTCATCTGGTTTCTGGATGTATGAACCACATGGATGTATTGATACATTGAAATTGATTGCAACCTGATAACATAATCGTATGGAGCAATTACGTTTGAAAATGGAAGTTGAAACACATCCATCATTCTATTGTCTTAAAGTGGTTTTAGGTTGTCTGTGATACGTGCCGATAACGACCCTCATTTATTCCAGATACTATTTTCAATTTTAATTTATAGCAAAATTCCCTAAAAAAATGTTTACAGATATTAACGTGAATTTCGTGTAATTCCATTTTTATTTTTATAAACTCAAATATTCATCTGGTTTCTGGATGTATGAACTACATGGAAAATTCAATTTTTAGATTTTTAACGCAACTCAGGTGCTAAGGGGGAAATTGCTATTTTTAACAGGGACAATAAAAGTGTTTTTGTTATTCCAATTTAGGTCTAATCATGGATATATAAATGAACATAACACTTCTATCAAGAAATTTGAAAACTATAATCATACCAAGGATCTTGTTCCCGGATCTGACAACTTTAGTGTAAGCGCAGAGAAGTCTAATTTATTATTATGAATCAGTAGTGTTAAGTCTGTTTATTCAGTATCATATTTGATGTTAACCTTGAAATTCCCTTCACCAATTCATACATCTTATTTTTTGTTTCCCAAAAAGAATACTTTATTTAAATGTAGTTGCCAATCTTGAGACCACTTATTATAGACATTTCATCCACATCAGCCTAATGCAAATCTCTAATTTAGAACACTTTCAACTGGGAATGTAGATAATAAAAATAATATTTAATAATCAAGGTGTTAATGGCACTCCTCTTGCTTTCGTTCGCACAAAAACGCTTCAATCCATTTTAGCAAGTTGCCATAAATACAATAAGACCTAAGATTAGATATAATTAATGACTGGAACCTTTAGAAGGCCTTATGAAAATCAAAGTAAAATACAATCACGGAGGAAACTTTAAGTAAGGAAGTCGGTGGTCCCTAATCTTAACTACTTGTTCTTGTTAAGGACCACTGTATAATCTCTTAATAAAATACAAAATCAATTACAGTACTTTGATGAATTAAGTCACGAAAGACTTGCCAGAACGGAAGCTATGTTGGATGATTATTGATGAAATGATAAGATTATAAGTGATCTTTCAGAACATAAATTTGACCTTAGTTTCTCAATTAGATTTAATCAGAATAGAGGTTCACTGACAACTATATAATTTAGAGGTTCAAAATTATTTTATTCAAAGAGGACTGCATCTGCTCTTTTCCACAATCGAACTACTCTCCAAGGGCGTCGAAGCGGTCCGGCTGGTACGGTTTTGCCCGGACCAATAATTTACAACTCAATATCGTTTGTAAGCCAAATTCTACTTTCACCGACGCAATCAAACATAACTTGCACATTCAGCTTAGTTTAAAAATATGGAACAAATTTGAAATTATTTCATTTTTTACTGTTTAATTAAGTATCAATAGCTTAGGCCTATTAATTTTATCATGATTTGATTCACCACGTAAATAATTCTCAAAATGTTCGCACCTCAGCACCAACCACAGCATTTTGCTCTAAAATGATGTCAGTAAGTTAATTAAATAAAACATGTGTTAGGTACACAGGGTACAGTATGCTTATTCCTCCATGAATAAATAAAGTGCAGGAAACACGAACATAATTACCGTACCGTATAATGCAATATGAATAACAAGGAATGTGCGCCTATATTATACGAGTTGACGGATATTGTGAAATACATATTGAAAATGTGGCCTAAATTAAACACGTGTTATGAATACACAGGGTACAATATGCTATGCATTACTTAGTAAACCTATTAAATGTCTTTTGAATTAAGCAAGGTGAATACGTTAGATTTTCAAATAACAGACTGCTGGTATATTATTCAGTGTTACCATCTAATAAACTTTTTGTTTATTAATGGCAAGAGTGTATTCCCATCATATGGACAGGTGATACGAGGTGATAATACGCAATAGAGTATTAAGAATCAGGGGAATCAACTTCGGGTCAATATTAGAATAGTGTAAGCTACTGTACGTTTCTACAAGGGTTCAACTAAGGCCCTACAACGGCTGCAGTCGGGGTGGTAGGACACACGCCAGGGAAAATCAGCAATTTTGCTTATTCATCAATTAGGCCTAAACTGATCGATTTTCACCTTTTTCATTAAAAAAAATCCCTACTATGACATGGCCCACATAGGCCGCCCAATATACATGCGTACAACCCGTAGCTGAGCTATGGCCCATGGTTCGATACGAACACGTGTCAATTAAAAAAAAAATATTTGTATCAACATACTGAGCAGGCCGGTATGGTAAAACATCATTTAAAAAAATATAATTTCTACTGTTAAAGCAATGTTTATTAACTAGTAGAAATATCATTTCTACTGTTAAAGCAATGTTTATTAGCTACTATTGCTTGTACGTACGTTAATATTTATTAAATCCCATGGTGACAAATATAAATGATAAAGCATGAATGGTTAATTGATATATTTAGTACAAGTATGAATGATTGACGTAATAGAATAGTGCGTGTTTTGAGCTACAAAGACAAAACTAATAAAAAAACAAAGTCATATTAATGCAATGGTGATTGAGTATATTTGGCCGGACCAAAAAAATAGCTTTCGACGCGCCTGACTCTTTCAGTTACCAATATATCAAAAAGTAAAGCTACCACTCCTACTCCTCAAACTGTATCTGCAGTTTCCTTCAATACTCGAGACTTAATCAGCTGTATCTAGACCAGAGATTTATTTACATCCAGATTCTCGATAACTTCATCTACTGTTCTTCGAAGAACACCGGATCAATCAAAGCATCCATCTTTATATCAACGAAGTTAGAGGGTTCCATTAAATTTACGTTATGTGGTTGCATCTTGCAAAAGCCCGTCACTCTGCGAGGTTTAGATCTTTGGTAAAAGCCTAAGCAAAAGCATAATTAACAACCTACAAGACTGACTGGACTAGAAACGTCATTGAGGTAACATTCACTATTATTATCTCTTTGGTTCTAATAAAATAAAAAAAGAAACAAACTACAAAACTTAATTTTGTTTATTAGATCAGGAATTCCTCTTTGATTTGGTCTTACATTTTATGAAATTCTTAAATTTTTTAGGGTCAACTTTCTTCTGCTGCCAAATTTCTTTCAAAATATGCCTTTGCCTTACGAACTTCCGAAATAGTCTTTCTTGCTTTTACAGATTCATTTCTGAACATCTCGTTTTATCAATTGTTTTTGATCACCAATACATTTTCTAGTAAGAGTAAATTTTGAAATGCAATCTTGGAAGGGAAAATTCAATCAATGTATTCAACTCTTTTGAGGATAAATATACTGTTATAGGTTCAGATTTTTAAAAATACAATCTCATGACATTACAATCACCTCTGTAATAACTTCTATCATGGGTGTCATCAACTTCAATGGAACATTCGAATCAACAAGGTCACAATTACATTGAGCTAGTTTGTGACAAAGATCCTTTATTAACGATGAAGTAAATGTGGGACAGTATTGTACAAAAATTCGGTTTGGTTGCAACATCTGCCATATATATATTAATTTTCTAAAAAGACACACAAATGAATACAATAACAACAAAATAACACATACAACATGTTTCCCTTGAAATAGTAGATTTATTGAAAAGACACAAATGACTTGTTCACTATGCTACACCAGTCACATAGTAGAATGAGATTATTTGAATAAAATATCACAAAAAATTCTTAAAAAGAAGACAGAAAATGTAATATGTATAGTACAGAAAAGGACAGCATTATTATCATTACCTTGGTGTGCTCAGTATTACATGCATTGGGCCATATATACATAGAAAGTATAGAACAAAACTTAATCATCCTCCAATGACAATTCAGGGATTAATCCTTGGGTCCTTCAGTGTGACCTTTTATCCATACCATTTCATTCTTAAAGTCTAGAATACTGACAATGACACTTTTGACCCTTAAAAACTTGGGTTTTCATGGCGGTCTCTTTACAATTTAATTATAAAGCATGCGAAAAATAGTATTTACAAAAAAAGAACTTACACTACAATAATACATACAGAAGCTTATTTACAAGTGGATATCAATGAGACAGGTCAAGGGTTACAATGAAACAGGGTCTAGAATTTTTTTTTTATCAGAAATGAGGAAGAAATAGGTACATTAAATATCAATCATAAATAAGTATTAGGCATAAGTATGAATCATATACAGTATTCATTTAGAAACCTATTTTTTTGTCTGAAATTTTATTAGTTCAATTCAACAGATGTACTGTAAATATGCTTCTAATTTCATTTTCAAGCCTCCCTTACCAACTAACATAATAAAAAAAATATGTGTCCAACATCAACTTTGTAGAATTCTCAACAAACAAAATACATGTACAGTTTCAATGCTCAGATTCGAAATCTGGTTTCCTGTTCAGTTTTTTTCCAAATCCCACATAACTTCACTTATCACACACCATAATACAGAATTATTGTACTTTTTATCAACAGAAGAAAAAACAGGAAAAAATGAAGATTCCATACAAGATGTTATTGTCAGCAATTACAGTAAAACTAAGGAACATAGAAAAATAAAGTGATAATTGAACTTTTTACAGTTAGGGGACATTATCTTTCTTTTTCTGCCTCGACCACTTGTTAAGAAGAAACCCCTAAGTAGACGTTTTTACATATTTACAACTCGTTTTCACTTAAAACTGAGCTTAACAGTTTTGCACAATAAAGTGCTCTATTATCAAATAAGAAGTTTGAGCATCCATGAAAAGCTTTAATAGAATGTCATAAGCAAAATAATGTTCTTTCAACAGAATGCAAGTTACATCTTTTTTACAAGAACATTACCTTACTTAAAAAGGGCTGCTTTTAATACCCAAATCATCTGATAAAAGATACTTCTAATAACAAATTCTTCAATTTCATTGGACTTACAAATATCTTATCAGAAATTAACTACACCCAGGTTATAAAAGACCATAAAACTCGTCAGGCACATAGTAAAACAGGTCACAGTTAAATTAATTTGATTAAATAGTCAACAAGTTTCTTAGTCGAACTAAAGCATATTATGGTAGTGTTAAGTGATAGATACTAAGGGACTAACTTTCCTACTTCAAATCATTTTAATATTTACAGACAGTTTATCAATTTCGTATCAAATACACCTTAAAAACTAAAACTTAATATTCTGTAAGTCCCTGGGATGTAGAGCAATTCATTAAGCAATACCAAAATGAATTGTTTTCCATTAAGTAATGTTTACTTTTAAAGTAAACTAATTAAAAAAACATGTTGCATGATGATTTACATCTTAACGCCCATATACCAATGCACTCCTCTCAAAATGATGTAAATGGGGGCGCTATAACATGTCTTCCAAGCCATTTGTTTTGAAGATAAAACATGCTGGCAAGCAAGCTTTAAATGCAACAAGTTTTCGGCTGGAAATTCTGGGAACATTTACCTATTTATCTAAATATTTGATTGGGTATTTTCACATCGCAATGTTTGAACAAATGCCTTGCATAACAACTTGTACCTAAATAAGATGAATATTTACATCCTTCTCCATTGCAGTCAACTTATTAAAGAGAATGTAGTAATGTTGTTTATTGATTCCAACACAAATATAACTACATAACTATCTCAATCGGGCAGAAATATGTGTCAAGATTATAATTTACCTGAAGACACAAGGAAAAAGGGAGAATCATATGTTACTGAATATCTTAAAAATGTAAAATGAGAAACTGTTGAAGCAGCTAACAATACATTTAGCTCAGCTTCCAAACGTTACGCTTACAGATACTTTCGGAATACTGATTTATATATTACATACTGTCAGACAGCGTGAGAAACCATAGGTCATTCAGTACAAGACTTCTGATTGGGTGTTTGTGTGTTGCTTGGCCAATTAGGAACACTGTCTCATGCTGTTGTGCCTTCATCTGACTTGATTTTCTTAGTTGCTGGTTTACTGTAAATAAAAGTTTTAATATATTTTATTAAAAAAAATAATAATAATAATATTAATAATTTGAAATCTCAGTTAATTAGTAAAAAAACACAATTGTCTTCAAAAAATTACTTTAAAAATATTTTGTATATAGCATATTTAGGCCCTACACTCTTTATTTTTACAGTGTATTATGTTAATGTTATCATTTGGTGAATTGTTTAATGTTCAATGTTGTTTAATGTTATTCCCTTGTCTAAACAGCTGTGTTTGCTTTATGGCCATTATTACAATTATAAATCTATATCAGCTGATGTAATTATGAAATATTCAACAACAAATCCATTCTCCTAACAATGAGATCAATGAAGCCTTAATAATCTGAGTATGTTGTATTCATTGTACACAAATGCAACAAACATATGTGGCAAGGACAAACCAAACCAGTCACCCCTCGCAAAAATTGATTTTTAGTTATTGAAATAGGGTTAAGCAGCGAAATGAAAGCTATAAAATGGTAAAATAATCATTCAAATCTGACACTTTGTTATGACGTTACAAAAGTTACATACAGCTGTATAAAAACAGTATTTGAGAAATCAATTTTTAAAGTTTACGATTTTGGCCATTTCTCAAGCAGAGACCCTTACCAAATCATTAATGAATGTTGTGTTAAAGTTAAAAATGGGGAAAATACTAGCATAGCATGATGTATAGATTTTAAAAGTTTTGACATTCCAACATGTTTTAGCCACTATCTCATAAACATGATTTGCGAGGTGTGACTGCTTTGGCTTTTCTTCGCAACATAGGAAGTATTCAGCTAACTTTTAATGTACAGATTGGACTCATACAGTACAAACTGTCACGCTTCACTGAACACGCGTACCTGTTATCACCGGCACTGATTGGACGTTTGACTGTTGTCTTGGACGCAGCTTGATTATCCTGCAGCCACCTTACCTGTGTCGCAGGACCATAACTAGAAAAAAAAATTAAAAATAACAAGATGTTAATATAAATTGATTTTTAAAAGCACAACCAATAAACAAAATTTACAACACATTTTGAAATTTTTCATCCCCAACAATCAATTTTTGACTATTTACTAGTCCACTGCGTGTGTGGCTAGGGTTGATTTTGATTCTCATCCATATTGCAGTAGGTACTAAAACGACATTACATTGGGAATTTTGCGTCAAGAAAACTCAAATGCAACTTTGGTGGTCTAGTAAGAATGATTTTCATTCAAATCATTATGAGATTTTTTTCCATAAGTATTTGGGAACATACTGAGAGTTCAGTGTGATAACATAACAGACTTTTCTAAGCTTTATTGATGCAAAAATTCCTTTTGTATTATTAGTAATACTAATATCATTATTATAATATTACACTACATTAGGGCAACCAAGAATATTGTTTACCCCTTCTCATTTCTGGCCGCAATTCTGAAGATGATAGCAGGTTTACTGGTTTGATCAATATGGGCTGTGGTCAGACTGGAAGAACTCACGATACAGGATGGGTTTGGCCCACAAAACACACGTACAAACGCCAGCTGGTTACTCTGTTTCTGTTCGATTCCGGGAGCGTTACGTACAGCGAGGTAGACTGAGTACTCAAGGATTTCACCGGCAGTGTTCGTCGGAGGTTCCCAGGACAAGTGTGCTCCCTCCGAGCTCTATGACATAATTAAACAATGAATTAAAAAACAAAGAGAATAAATCATTTACAAAGAGATATGTAAAGCTTGCAAGTGAACATTTCATGTAAGATTAAATACATCTGAAGAAAGAAATTATTCTCTAACAACAAATAATTAGGAAGTAATAGTAATATTCTCTAATAACAAATAATTAAGAAGAATATTCAAGGCTATTATTACTCCAGTTTTTGTATCTTTACTTCAGAAGTAGTATAATACTTAATACAAAAGAACACCAACAGAATGAACAATAATTTAGATGCTCCAAAATCCAAGTCCGAGGCTAAAGGCTTTGAGTGACCTGATTTTTGATGTTGTTATAAACATTTTTATTGTTTTCATCCTATATTTTATGTTCATGAATTTTGAATTCCTTTGGATTTCAACCTTGTCTTGTCTACTATTCGTACTGACCAAACTCCTACTGGAGCCAAACGATCAGATGGTAATCCACAATGGCAGGGGCTGCGAGATAGTCCAGTACACCGGGGTAACCCCCTACACGTCTAGAAAGATGTACTGGGTCCTTTACAGTGCACATGAGACAAATGTGTACATTGGGCCTACAGTTTATAGTCCTTATCCAAGAAGACTTACTCTACCTCCAGAACCATAGGCGAGCGTGTTGTTTCGAACCAGCACCAATATTATGGTTGTTGGTTTCGTCGACTTTGCCTTAACCTCTAGGCCATTTGACTCACAATCCTACTTCAGTAGGAATGTAAGACAAGCAACGTAACCACCATGCCACTGCAAAAACTTTAATAGGTAACTTACCTTACTAATACGTATCGCTGAGGGCGCACCAGGATATCCAGGTAAACAAGTCTTGAAGGCAGAGATCTCACTCCACGGCCCCCTGCCGCAGGCATTAATACCAGACACACGGAACTTGTACGCAGTACCGGCCTGTAAATCTTGTCGCTTCAAGGTACTGTGATCGAGCACACTCACTACATCAATATCCTGTTTAAAAAATAATATTAATAAAGAACGAAACTTGGTTTTATTTTACTTGCGGAAAAAGCCAGCCAATCATGCTTGACTTTTTGTCTGTCAGACTGCAAAAAAAGTTTGATCAGATTTTGAGATGATAAATTGTTATTTCAGACAACCATGGAACAACATGGTTTGTTTAAAGTCTAAAACATTAAAAAAGCAAAATTATAAAAGTCTCAACGACCATTGTCTTCGAGACATTTTGAGAGGGTAATAATATGCCAGGCTCTACATTTAAGTAAGAGGATTCATTAAAATTACAGTACTACGCTGGTCCTACATGCTACAATAATCCCTCCATGTGTTTACGCCATGTGCAATGTGCAATCTTTGCCAATCAAAGGAAGGTGAGTGAAGGATGTTGACATTTCAAATTTAAAAGGATGGGGATTGTCTACCCAAAGTGTTAATAAGAAAGTGAAACTTTGCAAGGTGATAACTACCTTTAATATTCACTGTTATTTATAATTAAAGAAAACATATATCTAATTTTCTTCTTTTACCAGAAAGTACTCTCACCAATGAAGATGTAATGAGAAAAAAATCTTGGTGTCTTGACATGTCTTTAATTTATTGACCCCATTTTTAGTTTTATTTTATTTATTGTTGCATTATTTATTTATGATTCAAAACTTTGCAACTGCTTCTTTTGAATTGTTTACTTGTTCTCTGCTTGGGCCAGGCAATGATCTCAGCTGCCTGTGGGTTGTGAGGTGCCTAAGTATGTGGAGGTTAGCGCTTCGTTTCTGCAAAGAAAGGCACTTTACAATTGTACTGATGAGATTGGATTTGCACTCAGGTACATGGGACTGGAAAGCAGCCATCTAACCACAAAGCTACATCTCCTTTACTAACAAATCATTACTTACATCCTCATTGCGTTGACTTGCCTCTGATGGCAGGTGATAGTAGCTCACCACAGTACTGGTGATCTTAATGATGCCAACATCAAACCACTGGTTAGCATCTTTTCTAATTACAATCTTGGAGGACGATGGCTGAAAGTTAAAAAACAGATCATAAAAATGTGCAGCTCTTCAGCAGATGTATACATACAACAGTGCAGGAAAAACTTGCATTCAATTAAGCGATTATTTCTTAACATTACTTTAAAGAAATACAGATTGAAGTAGTATATTGGTGTATAATCAACCATTTATAGGGGCCCCATTCAAACGATAAAAGCTTGTGGCACCACTGAAACATTATAAAAATAGGCAGAAATAACTTAAGTAGTGACTTAAAACTAATATGTTACAAAGACTTGTATGTAGAGGTTGAAATGAACAATGAATTTGAGGTAAATAACAGATTCTCACAGGTTCTTCGGGTTTCTCTGACTTCATTTGCTGGACACCATTAGTAACTGCAGAGCTAGAAACAGGCTTAGGCATGTTGACTCCAGCCAGGGATGCTATCGTCATGGCAATTGACTTGGGATCATTGTCTATAACAAATGAAAATATATCATGACAATCAGCAAAATATACACAACATTCACTTTTATTTTCCAGACTTAAAACAGAACATAATATTAAAATATATTACTTTTTACTAAATCAAATATAGACTTGAAAACTTAAAAAAATGCTTAATATTGGTACAAAATGAACGTTAGCATACCAGCTTTCGTGTGGCAAAGACCTAACTGTCAGTCACATGACAAAGACCTCTATTGGCAGTCACATGACAAAGACCTTTGGTGGTCACAACACAAAGACCTATAATGGCAGTCGCATGACAAAGACCTATACTAGCAAAAAAGACCTATAATGGCAGTCTCATGATAAAGACCTATATTGGCAGTCACATGACAAAAATACTTATACCAGAAGTCATATGATACAGACCTATAATGGCAGTCCTATTGGTAGTCACATAACAAGGACCTATAATGGCAGTCACATAACAAATGGAAGTTAGACGACAAAGACCTATACTTAAAGTCAACAACAAACCTGATGTAGAGTTGACATCTTTGGTAGCAGCAGTTACATCAACCTCCATTGGAGTTGCTCCATCATTAGCATTGGTCGAGGTAGTTGTGTCAGTGGAGAGTGCATCAGTGCTTGGTGTGGTATCCATTGGTGTCTCCTTATCAGCCTCTGGTTTTGCTTCTGGTTTTTCTTCTGGTTTATCTGCAAATAACAAGACAATCATTGCAAGATGTCAATATAGGGCATGCTTCTTTTTGAGACTTTATGTTAAATACAGATTGTAATAACAACAATGACATGTTTTTTTACATAATAGTAAAGATTGCTTGTAATGTTCATTGTTCACAACTCTAACAAGTTAATCAATTGTAATAAAGCTAAATAAAACTTCATATTCAACTATCTTCAATTGAGTTTTTAAAATTCTAATCGACAAAGGTTGTACCTTGGCTTTCAGTCTCTTGCTTCAATTCTGTTGTAGTGTCATCTTGCTTACTGTGATCTGTTGTGGTGTTGGCAGTAGTAGGTTCTGCTGGGGTCGTAGTAGATGCAGCTGGGGTTGTAGTAGATGCTGCTGGGGCTGTATTAGCTGCCGCTGGCGTTGGAGTAGCTGCCGCTGGGGTTGTAGTAGATGCCGCTGGGGTTGTTGTTTCTGTCTCTGGGGTTGTAGTAGATGCCGCTGGGGTTGTAGTTTCTGCCACTGGGATTGTAGTAGCTGGTGAAGATTGAGTAGCGGATGTAACAGTGGGGGTAACTGATGCTGGATTTACAGCTATAGTTGTAGTAGTTGTAGGGGCCACGGTTGTAGTAGCAACTACAGCAGTAGTTAAAACAGCAGTTGGGGTTACGTCAGCAGATGGGGTTATAGCAGCTGAAGGGATTGTTACAGCTGCAGTGGTTGTAACAACAGAAGGAGTTGTGACAGCAGATGGAGCAGTTGCTATACTGGATTGAGTCACAGTGGTCTGTGAATTGACTGCAGTTGAGATGACCGTTGTAGTCGAAGCAGATGTTGTGAGTACAGTAGCTGCTGGTGTTGCCGACACGCTGGATAATGCCTTGTTGTCCAAGAGTGTGATGGTTTTCATAGTTGGTTTACCAACACCCTGTTTGGCAGAGGCTGCCTGAGCTATGCTTGAGATCAGCTTAGCAGCATCGGCTGTATTGGATATAACTTGCGCTGCCGCTCCTGACGAGCTCGCAGGCTGTGCTTGTTTAATTGTAAATATGCCGCCCTTTGACAGAACTGAAGACGCTAATGTTCCTGGGATGCCGGATGCTGCGGCAGAAGAAATGGTTTTCAAAATGGAACCTGGGGACAGAAGACTGCTGCTTCCCTTTGGAATGATCTGTATTGTCTGTCCTTGACCAGTACCACCCTGGGGTGTCACAGCACGGATGATTGTGATTGGTTGATTACCGCTACCAGCTACAGGTGATCTTACTATTGAGCTTCCCGGTTGCGTGGTGATAACAATCTTTGGTCTATTAATAATACGTGTATTGGTTGTCCCTGTCAACATTTTTGTCGTCACAGTGACAATTGTCGGCCCCTTGCCACCACCTAACTTGGTTGCGGATGATACAGGTATGGTCTTCAAGATTGTCTTGCCCTGCTGAGCAATGCTGCTTATGCCAAGCAGTGTTGGAGTCTTGTTTCCTACTTGTGTAGTTGGAGTAATAATAGTTGTAGGCTTGCCACTGGCATTTGTTGTGGAAACAAGCTTCACAATGGTCGTGCCACCGACTCCAGACTTTGCAGCCTGAATGCTGGACGCAGAAGATAGGAGATTTGCCGCAGCTGACACTATGTTAACTGGCTTATTCTGAACCAAATTCAACTTTGGCATCTAGAATAAAAGAAAAAAAAATGTTTACAAAAGAGGACAATATTTCTCTATATAAAATGTATCACATACACACTTTCCATATTCCCTCAGGCCTCAAATGCTGGGCGATGCAAAATTGTATAAAAAATAATTATGAAGTATTACCCCAGCGATAGTTGTGTTTCCCATTGATGTGCGTACCAACGTAACAGTTTTAGTGGTTCCAGCTATGAGTCCTGGTAATCCGGACTTCTGTATAATTTGAATTGGCTTAACTGTCGTCAGCCCTGCAGCTGATGTTGACTTGGCCATTACTGTAATTGGCGTTCCACCTGCTGAACTGGATGCCAGTTTGAAGGTTGATCCCTGGGAGGGTGCCAGACGCATACCTTGAGGAAGAGTGATTACTGTAGGTGTGGTACCGGAGGTACTAGTGCCTAAGGATGCTAGGATAGCTTTGCTGGATATACTTGGTGTTGTTATTGTGCTAGCGGTTGAGATCTTCTGTGTTGCTGCAGCAGCTGCAGCAAGGGCTGCGATACCACTCATTGCTGATTGGCTGGTAGTTGCAGGTGGTATCTGCAAAAAAAGAGTTTGTTATCCTTATAATAACTTATTGAAATTAGATAAAAGACATACTTTTAGCTCTACTATACGTATATGAGGCATGTCGTGGCAAAATGGTTAAGTTGTCGCACAGGCTAGTATTGAGTAAATGACCTATAAAATATGTGAGCTCAAAAAATTGCCTAAAAATCCAAATTTGTTTTTCATTATAGATCAAAAGTTTAATGTCTTATTAATCATGTACCAAAGTATTAGTTCTGGAAATGGTCAACAAATTGTTTATTTAATGTTATTTTGATAATTCATTCTATTAAACAACGTATGCACAAATAACTTTGAAAGGCAATTACTCAGTTTATCTTGATTCTAAGAGTACTGTACTTTTACTTTCCAATAACTTAGGCTTGAAATGTCCAATTTCAATGAATGACCCCTCATTTTAAAGATCACATACTCATTTATCTGAAAATACCAATAACTTGAATTTCAATTATTGCTACAACTTAGCCATTTTGCCACAACATGCCTCATTTTTGAAAGAGCAGGGTTTGTCTCCTGGTGGACTGATGGATCACTACACACCATTACTAAGAATGGGTAATGTTGCTCTTTACAGGCAAAGTGTTTAAATCTGAAATGCAGTTGTTAATGATAATTCACCTGTGCAGAAGTGGTCTGTCCTTTGTTGCCTAGCAGTAACTTGACAGCATTTGAGGTTGTTGACACTGTTGTCTTGGGTTTAGTAGTACCTAAAAGTAAAAAGTACAGTATTCAAAAAGTTGTATCACGATTAAAATGCTAACGGATCTTACTTCCAGGCCACCCCCCCCCCCCCATTGGATACTGCGGCGAAGGTCTCACAAACTGACAGTGCATAAAACATATGCAAACACACAACGTGCGCTTGTTGGTAAACATGTGTTTGTAGGACATGCACATATTCCCTGCCTTGTTATGATTGGTCAGTTGTTAAGTTTGATTGGCACTCCAGAATTGTATATCAACAGATGTTTGAGCCTCTACATTAAAAGCTGATACTTTAATAATAATAATAATAATAATAATAATAATAATACAGTAACATCTCCCAATTAATTACGTACCCCTCCGTCCGAACAGAGTTTGTAAATGAGAAAATTTGTAATTCAGAGATCAAATTTTCCTAGTATCTCAGTGTTGTGAGGGTAGGCCTAGGCTTATGCTACTAAGTACAGGGCTAGGTTGGCCTACTTGTCATGGGAGCAAAAGTTTGTCACGAAAAATGACTTGAATTTTACTGTTTTCTGCAAAAAAATAATACTTTACAGAAGCCAAAAATACCTGTGCTAACTGTGAAGAACTTATTTGAAGTGATTCTTGGAATAAAACATGACCAAATAATGGCCAAAACAAGTGTTATTATTCTCTTCTTAAAAACTGCGAATCCAAATAAACAAAAAGTGAGATTTACTCTAAAGTATGCCTGAACAAGCATGCACAGCTCAAATGTAACATATCTCAGCTGAAAACGATCGATATGTCTTGCTTTAAACTTTTGTCACTTTATTGATTTAAATATTTTCTTTTTTAGTTGATGTAACATTTTATATTATTTTTGTAAATACAATTTTAAGTGTTTTTGTAGTTAAAAGCGATCTATTGTAATGACGTCATTGTCGCAAATTGGGTTTGTAATATCGAGAGTTCGTAATTGCGAGGTTTGTAATTGGGAGATGTTACTGTAATAATAATTTGCAGGTTTTTATATAGCGCTCTACACAAGTCTCAGAGCACTTTTCCACATTATTACCCCAGTCACAGGAACAATGGGGAAATTCCATAGTTTGCTGTGTGAAAATTACCAGCCCATTTTGCCCTCAACTGTCACAGTGGGTGACAATTTGGCTTACACTTTAGTAATAAAAATGCTAGACAGAAATATAAATAATATAATACTTTATGAACTGTTTATGAAGAGAAAAACACATACAAGCAGTTAAAGACAATGAGAGTAGTTGCCATGAACCCGCCAATTGGCGGATCACTTGATGATGATGACTTTTTGAACTATTAAAAAAATCATGAAATTTTGAAATTATTTTACTTTACCTTTTTGGCCTGCGGATGGTGACGCAGTTTGTGCAGGCATTTCATATTTCTGAAGCTGTAACAAGTACGCATCCGCTGAGGAACAAAACAAGAAAACATTTACATAATAAGTCAAACTTAAGAACAAGGTCATGAAGAAGAGCTATGCCAATGTTAATGTATACTGTGGATATTTATAGTATGACAAAATTTCTCACTCATCTCAACGTAATTAGACAAATCACTATTAAACCTAACCCTGGATATAAACATTCATTTTTAGCTCAGGCATGTCATCTGCTGTATAGAATCAATTCTTCCCATAATCTGTCATGTAGCCCAATACACTTTTAGTTTAGGTGTTATTTACTATGTATCTATTACTTCTTTTTAATACATTCAAGATATAATATATATTCTTATATGATATGTGTATAATATTATTATTTTTAATTCAATTTCAACTGCACTGTCTGTTAGGTTGCAACGTATTCAAAATAAATTCTGTAGGTTCTATTTTCGTAAATTTGGTAAAAGTCCTAAGTTGGCTTTACTCGAAGAGAGAAGGAATATTTTTTATCTTATTTTTCTTTACAAATGCATAAATGCCAGTTTTGACGGTGATTTCACTTCTTTTTTTCAAATACTAGTTCCTTTGCATAGATTAAGATCCCCTGGATTATTTAGGGTTCCACCGGGTAGGGTTAACGTTACAAAAAATGGTTTTATTTGTTGTCTCCCTAAGTTATATAATTCTATCTGTTTCAATCCTTCCTTAGATATATGTTTTGATAGTCTTAACTGCTTCCATCACAAAATTACTACCATTTTTACTTCTATTACCAAGTGAATTTCTTATATTTTTAATTATTTTTAGACCTATATTTGAATTTAATGTTATATTACTTATATAAATTTTTTATGTATCAATTTTCATGTATCAATCCTGTTATGGGCGACACTGGTCGCTGTTGGATGATGTTGAAATAAATAAAAAAAATTTTTTTTAAATATAATTATTACTTATATCATTTATACAGTTAAACTTGTCTATGTCGACTTTGCCTAACTCTTAAATAATTTTTAGTGCAATTTTAATTCACATTGCAAATCGTTGTTTTCCATTAATTAAAGATCTGTAAATCAAATTTTATCTAAGTTGAAAAATGTTTCAATTTCATTTTGAATTTGACAAGTTCAACTATATAGTGCCTTTTCTTTGCAGATACAAAGCGCTCCCTTTTCGCCAATCATTGGGTTCACATGCTTTAAATGTTGCTACTGGTAAATTGCTTAGAAAACCAATTCTGTGAAATATGTACCAAAACAGTTTAAACTAATAAAATATACTTAGAAATGTATATAACAGAATGCAAGTCATTTACCTGTAGCAACACTGCCCCAGCAAACTTCCAGTGTGTTGGTACTGGCACGTACAAGCTGAACTCTAGAGGGCGCTGGAGGTTTTTCTGTCTCCAGAAACCACAGATCTTTACAGCAGACCTGCAAGATATTAAAATAATTTTTATTAAAATTCTTTTTTTTTTTACAGTTTCATCTCATCAACAAACACAAAAACTATCAGGGATTTTAATGCCATACATTATAATATATTAATTTTTCAAATAAAAGTGATTGAATTAAATTGGAATGGAATGTTATATTATACTGCCTTCATTAGGAGCTCCAGAAACACTCGGCCGATTGATTAAGAGTTTGATTGATTAATAGATCATTTTTAGATCTACTGCCTCTATTATACTGCCCTCATCGGTGCTTTCGGGATTACGGGAACTTATTTTTACATCGATTGGTTAGAAAATGCATTACACTAGGACAAGGCCTTAGTCACCAGCTATGAACAAAGTTCCTGTTTGAATGGCATTGACTTATAATCAGATTTCATTAAAATTATAAATAGAAAAGTTCCTAAATTGTATCAGGCACAGCTATTCACCTCAAAACACAGTGCCAAAATAAAAAAAAAAATATTTAGGTAGAAGACCAATACCTGATTGTTCCAGGCCTTTCTGTAGCCATCACGTCCACTCCAGACAAAGAGTCTCGAGTGGATGGCCACGGAGCAGTGACCAGCTCTGGCCCTGGGCACTTGATCCTCAAATACTTCCATTGCTAGTGGTTCCCATGTCATAGTGTCTGCAATACAGAACAAAAAAATATTAATTCTAATGTTGAGCATCATTAAGATGAGTCATCAAAGCTGTAATTAAATATCCAATTAAATATAACAAAGTAAAATAATGCATAATGCATTAGAACTTAGTGGATGTACTGCACCATGTTTAAGATATCTTAATCAAGGCATGCACAATCATCAGTCTGTTATCTGGCAGATTCAGGTAATATTTGATCAGATTTTTTATGACAGTGTATACTTGTGTCAGACATGCAGATCAAACCATGTAAATTTCTGTCTGAAGCCAGACAATGCCAACTTCTTAAAAGTTTGATTAAAATTGTTTGTTGAATATCTGAAAATAAATACCCAAGGAATGGAGAAATTAATGCAATCATGAATAATTTACCTTGCATATTTATTTAACATATTTATTTATCATGACTTGTACAGTTGAACTTGCCTAAGTCAAATCCAAAATAAAATTGCAAAATTGTTTGACTTAGATAACATTTGGCATACAGATCGTTGATTAATGGAAAACACAACAATTTGTCATGTAAAATAAGGTCGACTTGTAAATTATTTGAGTTAGGCAAAGTCGACTAAGTAAACTAAATCAACAACATAATCCAGTCTTTGCACATAGTGTTCAGCTAAATAATGCTTTGAATTAAATATTGAGATATTTGGATAACCCACAAAAGCCAGATTTTTATGGGGTCCTTCAAAAAACCAGATAAGCAACAATTATTTATCTAACATTGAAGGAATTTAATTGGCTAATGCTGATTGTAAGCACTTAGTGTTGTTTAGCTAAATATTTTTTTAGTCATAAATTTAAATTATTACAGTCCTATAGTACTTATAACATGAAGATAGCCAAAGATAAACATTGAGTGGGGTCTTTTATAATAATTTTATTATAAGGCATGAGTTTTTTTTATACCTTGTTATTTATTTTTGGACAATTAGTGCACCCATCCCCACGAAAAAACTGGAAATTGCAGGAATTTTTTTTTTTCATTTAGAATCATTAAAAATAAAATATGAATATTTCTTCCTGATTATATAGATTTAAAGGATATCACAATCCCATTATTACACTGTTCACATTTACCAATAAAATTATATTTTTATTTTCTCCTCTGTCTGGGATGTTTTTGGCAAAACCATTTGCTAAATAAGCAAACAAAAACATTTCTTTTTTTTTGCACTATAAGAAAATAAGCTTGCAAAACAAAGCATAAAAAAGTCACCTAAGTAACACATTTAAGTCAATTTTCATGTGAATTTAATTGGCTAATGCTGAGTCTAAACACATAGTGTTTAGCTAAATAATGCTTAGTCTTTCATTAAAAGTATTCAGTATCATACACGAATAAGCCAAGATAGTCAAGGACTTAGTTCAAGTGGTGTCCATCGTAAGATTAAAGCAACAAGCGTTCAGCTAATGTTCAAGTCAATTGAACTGGTTAATGAAATCCAAGCACATAGTGTTAAGTGAACTGAATTAGGAAACACTGTATGTCGACACCAAGCATTTAGCTAAATGTTTACAAAAGATTAGATAAGCAAAAAGTGTTTAGCTAAAGTTAAATGACTTGAATTGGCTAATGCTACGTAAGCACAAATATAGCTGAACTACAGCTACACACTATGTGGTTAGACTCAACATTATTAAATAGATGTAAACATTTATATAAGAATTTAGCTAAACGCTTGGTGCCGAAATTCAGTTCTTGATATTAAGTTTAGTTATTTAGTTTAACTATTTTACAGCTAAAATGTGACATTAGCCAATTAAATTCACTATTAGCTAAATGATATCGATTTTCAGTACTTAAGAATTAAGCTATTTAGTTTAACTACTTTTAGCGGAGATAAGCAAAAAAAGTTTAGCTAACGTTTAAATAAGTGAATTTAATTGGCTGTCAAACCTTAGCACAAAAACTTTCATAAAATAGCTAAACTAAATAGTTAAATAATTCTTAAGAACTAAATGTCGACCCTAAGTGTTTAGCTAAATGTTTATTTAAATGTTTACGTCTATTTAATAATGTTGAGTCTAACCCCGCCTGGTCTAACCACATAGTATATGTAAATGTAGTAGTTATTGGCTAATGTTGATTTATGAGCGCACAGCATTTAGCCAATTTACATTGCAAGTCATTTTGAATTGTGAGACAAGTTTCTCAGACGGCAGGAAATGCACAGAAGCAGTTGTAATTTAAATTACTCTACTAGTGGGAATCGCCACATTACTTTCACTACTCCACTTTGAACAAAATTCAAAACCAGCAGATACGATTAGTGCACTACACCTAATTTCAACAAAATATTTCTAAATTATACTAATTGACTTCAATATTTCAGGACAAATATTATATTAACAATTCTCTTTTTCCTATTTTTAAGTGGTTTTTTGTTGATTTTATCAAATGAGTGTTTTCTGGAAAGCGTCTATTATGCAGATTGCAAAGAAAGTTTATTTGTATTGTATTGTATTGGTATGAAAAAAAAAATATTCTGGAGATAATACAATGTTGCCAGTAATAAAATGTGATCACTACATACATGTAAATTGAACTATGTAAGAAGAAATAATAAGATACGCCAATAAGTGCATTATACCAAATTTCAACAAATTATTTCTACATTATATTAATTGATATAAATATTATATTAATTCTCTTTTCCTACTTTATATTGGTTTTTTTTATTGTATCAACTGAGTGGTTTCTGGAAAATGACTATGTAATACAAAGAATGAGCATTATTCAATTTAAAAAAAAATTATTGCCTCTATGGCAACTGTTCAACTTCAATTTGTATTTTAATGTATTTTACTATGCAGATATAAAATGTAATCACTACATGTAAATTGAACTATGTAAAAAGAAATAATAAGATACGACAATAAGTGCACAATACCAAATTTCAACAAATTATTTCTACATTATATTGATATAAATATTATATTAATTCTCTTTTTCCTATTTTTACTGGATCCTTTTTTGTTGATTGTATCAACTGAGTGGTTTCTGGAAAATGACTATGTAATACAAAGAATGGAATGAACATTATTAAGTATAAAAAAAATTAATTGCCTCTATGGCAACTGTTCAACTTGAATTTGTATTTTAATGTATTTTACTATGCAGATTGTCAATAAAGTTTAATTGTATTGTATTCTAAAAAAAATATTCTAGAAATGATAGAATGTTTGCCGAAAAGAATGTGAATGTGATCACTAAATGTTAATTGGAAGATGTCAATAGAAATACTAAGATTAGGAAGAGGAAGGTAGTAAACTTTGGAGAACACTAAATAGCTAGAGAAACAGAAATACTCTGTCAGTTAAAAATTTTAAAAAATACAATACAGTTCTACAAAAAGTACAGTAACACTAAGCTTGTGTACTTGCATTAACCGTTGCCAATCAAATATTTCCTGACTACTGTACTGTAGTACCATCCTGAGTACGGAATTAGGTCAAGCAAGCAATTATCTTTAAAAGCAGGTCAAATATTACTTATTATTATTATGACATCAACAATGAAACATTTTTGGTTACCAATCTAATTATTGGATTTGTTGCTCATAGGAAAGAATGCAAGTCTTTTATGCTAAAATATGACAACAAAATAATAATTTTTCAATACTATTTCAATATAAAATAACTGCTAGGCTCCTCAAATTTGTCAGTTCAAATTTGAGTAAAATCTGTAAAAAAAGGCTGGTATATTGTTCAAGGTTTATTTACTCAACAATAAAAAGACAGAGGGCAGCATTAGCTGAAATCTCTGTGTACATAAAACAGTAAAAAATGTAAAATACAGTATATAAATGCAGCACAAAAAACAAAAAAACAAAAGTAATGAGTTGAAATGTAACGAGTAGAACATTTAAAGACAACACTGCATCTTTCGGAAGAGAAGGGTATGTCGAATGTAACGCGTAGAACATTTAAAGAAAACACTGCATCTTTCGGAAGAGAAGGGGTTATTGCGATGTTATGGTTCATTCCAGCCCCTGTTGTTGTGTATGATGTGAACATGTAGCTTACATGAAGCACCTCTTAACGGCTGCTAGGTAGTCGCGGACCACGCCCATATGCAATTCAGTACATGGACGCTGCAAGTTATGGGTTATTCTCCTACCTACCAGTTACGTTGTTTTACCATGGCACGGCCGAATACTACCACGACTTACCTAGGTTCAGCGAAGCAAGCGTATTGGTACACTTCCACTCCTTCTCATGCGTTGCCACTTTGACATCATCCATCACAAGAGGCACCCATCCTCCAAACACAAACATCCTTAAAATACAAGCAACAAAACATTAATCAATAGTGAATTGTATCCCTTCACTGGTCCATATAAAGAAGCCACTATAAACTTCACATGTCGTATTTTAAAAATCTATGTGGCAAACTGCATACTTGCTTGTATATTAAATTTTTTATTTACAACTTCAATTTTTTTGAAAAAATTCATCTTGATTCAATATCAAATATTGGGTTGATTTGTTTAACATACTCACACGCCATTTCACTGATACTCTATAAGCATTCTTAAGTGAACTGTGGTGTTAAGCTTGGTCATAGTATAACCTTGGTCGATTTGAGGTTGAAGTGCAGGGGACCCCAAAGACTACCAGTCGTCATAACAACAAGACAACTAATGGTCTACTATATTAATTGGATTATCAGAAAAGAAAAAAATCAACCCAATAACTTCAATATTGTATGTAAATGTGACCCAATAAATGGGCTGTAAACTTGCACTGAATAATATTGAGAATTGGGTTTTTGTGTAATAAAAAATTTTAACTATTATTCTTACTGAGTTTAAAATTCCTGTAAAAGGTAAAATTTTGCCATTTTCGGATTGGAGTTAATGAATAATGAATAGAAACTTGCCGAAAATAAAGGCATTTTCTAAAAATTTGGTTTAAAGAAAGTTGATAAGATGATAATTATTTCAACAGTCATAACTTTGCTTCCAGACACCTGATTGAGTTCATTTAACTTTCATTTTAAAGTAAATTATATGTTCTATGCCATCATAACAAAAACTCGTTTTGGTCTGAGGACGAGTTTACAGCCGTTTTATGATCGTGGATCACAAATCACCAAACATCAGACTAATTTTTGCTAGCTGTGAGAACTGAAAACACTATATCCACAATGCTACTTAGAATATTTGATAAATTTTAAGTGTATAATAACAATCAACTCTTATCTTTACTAAGCCTTATCATTTTCATGTACTTAACTGTATTGACATTTTATTTTAAATCACCAGGATGTGGACTTTTTTTTTATTTGTGTCTATAATTCCAATCAACTTTTTTTCTTTACTGATAAGCCTTATCATTTTTATGACCCTAAATTTTCTATGAAACATATAGATCATTTTTATTTGTGAAAATACACTATTCATACAATTTTTAGGCAATAAATTTATAAGGATATCAGAGAAACATATTTTGGCTGCTGGCTAGCAAAGGCAGTTCTTTGGATGTGTGCCAATTTCAATTGAATACTAAAGTACATCCAACACAATATTCTGAATACATAAGTATATTTTAAAAGTATATGAAAAGGTTTATAAAATAATCAATATATAGAAGTATTAGCTTAAAAATATTAAAATTTATGAAAACTTTGCTTAAATATTGACATCTTCACATGGTATGCTTTACTCTGCATTATGTATAACATGCATCATTTAATTAATTTTGCACAGGTTCTGTCTGTAAAACATGTTAATTGACAACATTCATATAATCCCTAGACAATACCTGTGATAACCACAATGTCAGGATTCAATATATATGTTTTGTTAAGTTATAAGTTTGTAAAAATAAAATGAAGAGCGATAATAATAGCATTTCTAAATGATCTGCATAGATCCTTAAACTGTTTGGCAAACAATCAAATTTTCATTATTTTTTTTTTTGGTTAGTTTTCTAGATTGTACCCACAAACTGTACAGTATGTTTAATTCAGGACTTCCTGCATTTCCGTAGATGATGAGAGTAAACCATTGTGGCATTCTATGTCATGTTGAATTATTGTGCCTAATTGATTTGCCAATTACCAGAAATATATTTTAATGAAATCTTTATGAAAAGAAACATCATTCAGACATTAAACTTTTAGATACAGTCACAATCTATTTAATTTGCATATCATGCAGTTTACATTCTTCAACTGCTACTCATTTGCATAATCCTGAATTAGATTCATGAAAGGGGGACACATAAAGGTTATAATATGCGTAATTGTCTTAATGTGCGAGAGTGATGCAGATGTCTTTTGACACACTATCTCACCCGCTCTGGGGAAGGTCACATAATCCCAAGGCTAATTTCTACTCAAATAATCTGTTATATGAACAGCTGCGATTCAACCTGTCAAAGGATGTAGATAATAATTTTGTAGTCAAGCTTCCAACACTAGATACCCATCATATAGTAGAGCACTGGATAACCATCATACTGTATATATTACGGCCAAGCCGTGGCAAAAAAATGTACTGTAACTTGAAATTTCCACTTTTCGAGGAAAACAGTTACAAGTTTGCATGTTTACAACTTCGTAACAAATTGTAGCATCCTTCTGAAGTTTTTTCAGGACCATATATCTATATATGCTTTAATGATTATGTAAAATTTCAATTACAACTGTTGGTGTATTGCAAAGTTATTTACCTTGGAAACATTGAGAATTTTTAGGGCACGATATTGCAACGTATTGTTTTGAATTTATTATGTCTGGGCAATAATATGCATTATCCAGCTTGTGCATACACTGTTGTTAGGATTATTGATATGAAAACACCTTCAACCAGTTGATTTTGCTGTAGCAAACTCCCCTAGCTCAAAACTATTTTTTAATACAACTCTGAGGTAAAATAATGTATCTACATCGCAGATACGTTGTTTTGCCCCGTAATCTAGCAGTTACGTTGTTTTACCACGGAAAATCACTAGATTTTAAGTTCTGTGATTAAAAAAAAATATAGGTGGTGCTATCCCCAAAACGACTAATTTTTGAGACATGAAACATTCACAGGTAATTATGAAGTGTTTAAAATATTCCCAAATGATATCTCAGAATCAACAAAAATGCGAGTTACATTGTTTTGCCTCGAGTAGGGCACTAGATAACCAATAATATAGTAGAGCACTGGATAACCATAATTTTGAGGACAATGTGATTAGACAATCAGGAATTTTAATCACGTCACCCATATTTTTCATATCACATTATCATCAGATAGGCAGATGTACACAAATACTTTTGATTTGATAATAAAATTCAGATGTTTTTTTTAACTAATAAGCTCAGGATTGTAAACATTTTACTTTCAGCCTAACTTAAAATCGCACATAGGCATTTTAGAGGGCACTGTATGCTTCAGAATGCATGGTCATACCAATACCGATGTAAACAGTCTAAAACTAAATTCAAAATATAAAAGATTCTAAATTTCAATGTATTTGGCAATGTTCCAACAAAATTCCTAAGCTTCCTAAAAGCGACTTAAGATAATGTTGTAAGACAAAGTCCCGAAATTATACAACCATTTACTCTCACTATTAAAAATGACATTAAAGGATTTTGTAAAAAGGTTTCAGTATTTCTTAATAAGACTTGAAATTAAAGTTGAGAACTGAAAATTCAAATAGCCTTTAGGTCCATAGATTAGTTTATACTCCCAAATTGGGTCAATTGTTTATAAAACCCGACCTGGTTTCTATATATATCTTCAGAAGTCAAGTGGTATTTGAACTCAAGCATATATTTTTAAATTATAGTTGTTAAGTATTGATGGGAGTCTGTAACATATTTCTGAGTGATGCTTCACAGGAAGAAATAACTTTAGAGGCTTGCCGTCCAAAACCTACTGTTGCTAAATGTTAAATAGAATACTTAGTAGAATTTGTCAGTATTGTATGCTTTAGTACATCAGAAGCCGTAAATTACTTTTACTCGTAACTTTGGCAATTGTAAGTCGATTCCCATTAAATGACCTATCATTTTAAAGCCTATAATATGGAGAATATAGGTATATTAAAAAGTAAATTGTCTTGTTTTAGTCACTGATACTAATTAGGTATATTAAAAAGTAAATTGTCTTGTTTTAGTCACTGATACTAATTTGGCATCACAACTCCCAGGGAATAAAAAGCCTGTTGCTTGGTCGGTTTTTTCAAGATATCAGAATAAATATATTTTTATTGTGTCCTAAATTCTGTAATTTCCACACCCCCCCCCCCCCCACAAAAAAAAGCCCAGTGCACAAAATGTTTAACAAAAAAAGAAAATAAATAAATAAAATTTAAAAAATAAAGAATGATGCTAAAGGAAAGAATAATTCACATGGCAGCAAAGTGTTATAAACCGATGATTAAAATACATTAGAAATTAAACGTGTTAGAAAATGATTTATGTGTTACCGATGGTTAATCATGGTTGCCGAATGCAGGCTTCTTGGAAGCGGTGCCGTACCATGGATCTCCGGTTTGATCCACGTGTTAGTGTCTGCAACAAAAAAACAAACACGCAATTTAAAACTTCATTATGGTTTATATAAGAAAGATTAAATAAATATAAATTAAAGTGTACTGATGGTAGATTGATAGAAAATCAGATTTTAACCATTGAAATTCCAGGTAAAAATGTTGTTACACAATATAATTTAGGGTACCATTTGGAGTGGTCTTGTAAATAACATACCCTTAAATATGCTGGTATTCTATTCTACAGTGTGTAGATCCTTAACTTTTTAAAAATGTTTTTTTTTTTTTTTTTTCGTTCCTTTTATTAATATTTACTGTAAAGTTTACTACTAAGTCAACTTTGCCTAAGTCAAATAATTTCTAAGTTATCATATTTTACATTGTTGTGTTTTCCATTAATTAATGACTTGCAATTTTATCTAGCAATTTCTCAATGCCATTTTAGATTCGACTTTAGTCAAGTTCAAATGTATTAAACAATTTGGACCTGAACTTGATGAGGCTATAGATGTTTACATACTTCTGATTGGTAGTCAGCTGCATAAAGAATTATAAATAAAATACAAAAGGATAAATCTAAACAACCCATTGGAAATAAAATAATACTTTAATTACGAGATAGGAAAATGCCTGTAAACAATGCATTAATTTTGAAATCATCCAAACCACACTGCTGATTTTTAAGCCCTCACATTATATTTGACAAAAACATGACATGCCTAAATATGGGCATGACTATATATGGGCATACAACAGTTTTTTGTCAAAAAAATTGATAATCTAGACTTAGTTGCCTGTTGACTTTAAATCACACCGATAACTACAACCAATGTTAATGCTAGACTGACACTAACTTACCACAATTTAGTTGCCATAGGTCACCAAGTCTACATCCACTCATCCCTCCATATATGATCAAGCGAGGGCGCTTTCCATCTTTGCCCATGTAAGAAACAGCTGTATGCGACTCACGAGGTGGAGGTGGCTCCCCGTTGGTGATTGGTATGTTCCAAGACAAGGCAGAGTTTGAAACTCTCACATCAAGGGTATAAAGATCATTCAAGTATCTAAACAGAAGATATTAAATAGTTGTTTTATCAGCAAAAATAAGTTACTACTTTACAGACCTTTCACTTTAAAATCAAGATGAACTATACTATACAAATATTATATCTTTAGTTTGTTGTGCAAAAAATAAAACAATTTATATAAAATATGTATTTAAATATTTGATGAATACTCTAATAATTTATAAAAATTATAAAATCATTAAGTAAACTTAGTAATTAATACAAATTCATTTTGTACTGTAACCTTGGGTTACTTTAACACTTTTGTCTGTAAGAAACAAGACATTGTTTGATCAGGCAATATCTGATAGTGTACGCTCAGGTTTTACAGCTATGTTTTATCAAACAAATAAGTTTACAGTTTTACTTTACTAGCCAAAGTCTGATCAAACAGTCTGTTAAGTCTGCCAAACAAAAATCTATTGTCTGATGCATGGCATTAAAAATATGGGATCTTAAAAATTATTTTTAGAGATTATCATAAAATAGAAATAGATGATCAATTATCATTATATGATGCCATAAATACCTTGGTATATTGTTCTTGGGATCATCACTATCATTAGCCAGCCCACCAAAGAGATGAGCTGAGCCGTTCACTAGAGTGTATGTGTGACCCAATCGGGGGCATGGTGCTGGTCCATTGCGTGGAGGTTTTGGCTTCAAACGTTTCCATTCCCAACGACTTGCCTGCAGCTCATACAACTCGTTAGAGTATTTGCCATACTCAACCATGCCACCAAAGATAAGTAGTCTTGTACCATCACAGACAAAGCCATACGCAGCACATCCGGGAGGAATATCTCCTCGTACAGCCGGAACGAACCATTGGTTATTAGCTACAGAAAATATTTAAAATGTGACTAGTATTGAATAATACATTTTAAATTATTATTTAAATTTGTTTTTACTAACTTTTTATATTGTAATGTATTATACAGTACTTAAATAAAAAATATGTTTAAAAAATTAAAGAATTTTTTTAAAACAAAAAACATCATAACAAGAGCAATCTTTTACTTTTTTTCAAAAGAAAATGTAATTTACATAATCTCTGTTTGAATCTCTATTAGACATCCCATTTAACAGTTAATTTGGTTCAGATTTTTTATTTCATGCCTCAATATTCCTTTGTATTTTAATGTTTGTTGTGTAATCATTTCTGAGAATATTTAATGATGTAACATGATGATATAATCAATCTTTCTAATTCATTAACTTCTTCAAATATATTTATATTCTAGTTTCCACTAAGTACTTACTAATTCTACAGTCAGAAAAATCAAGAGTTCACTGGGCATAATAAACACATACTAAAACACAAGTTCACATCCTAATTAAAGTTCAATTTCACATAATGCAAGCATTTTTCCAGGCAAACAGGAACAGCCCAGGGTATAATCTATATGAAAGTTGAAGTTTGACATTTCCAAAACCAAAAAAAAAAAAAGTTTTTTGTATTTTTTACTTTATCTCTCTATTCTAAAGCTTTGTTCAGGCTATCAAATTGTATTTGACCAAAAAAAACAAAACTGTCGAGTGCCCATATATAGTCATGATGTACCCATATATAGTCATGATGTACCCATATATAGTCATGATGTGCCTATATATGGTCATATTAACAAATAATTGAAAGTTACTTGCATAAGATAATACAGTAATTGTTTTATTTTGGTTTCTTTTACTTCTTTATTTCTGTTTGTCTTGTAATTGTTTTTGTAATTTAATTTTCTTATTATGTACTTCAGAAACGGCCTTGTGAAAAACACATTTAATTTGTGATCAGTTTTCCATTTTCAAATAAAGTCATTATTATTATTATTATTATTATTATTATTATTATTATTATTATGTGATGTCATAATGCCCATATTAAAGGCATGTCACATGTTTTTCTCAAATCAAATTTGATAAACTGGACACTTCCACTACTGAGGATAAGGTATTTATTCTGGAGAGTAGTTGAGCTGTAATTCTTCAGGTAAGAAGTGTTAACCTTTGAACTTTACAGTATGTCCTCATACGATCAAGTCCTGTTAAGTGATGCGATAGGATTTTTTTTTTATGACCAAAAACAACTTCACTCTCTAAGCCGTAGTGAGACTTAGTTTACTGTACTGTATGCAGTGCATCATTCATACAGTATATTGTCTTGTGCAATAAAATTTCACTTATTTATCTGACAACAGTAATTACAGGCTGTCTTTGATAAACTTGTGGTAGAACTTGATGTGTTAAGACTAATTCAATGTATACCAGCTCAAATACTGCACTAAAAAACAATTACAAGTGCATGGTTTACACCACTTATGGCCCCAAGACGTAAACAAAAAATATGAGAGGTAACATCTGGCAACCATTTATGAATGTGTCATTGCTACTTTGCAACGTAAGTGTATTAGTAATAGTAAAGTCTTCCTAAGGAAGCTGTTTTTACATCTATTTGATTTGGATTTCTTTAACATTAAATACAAGATTTTTTTCACGAGTTCCTTCAGGTGGTGAATTGCGCAATAGGCCTACACCATCAGGAGACAATCCCCTACGTGCACATGGACCATATTACAGTGTACACATAAGACCAACAGCTTAACACTTCTTATCTGAATGATGCTGCAGCTACTAAAACTTGCCTTTCAATCTTCCAGCTGAAACCCAAGAAGAGAAAAGGATAGAATTGAACCAGGCACTAAGAGATCTCCACGGTTCAGTGTAAACATCATCACCTGTTTAGCCGACTGATCTAAGCTGTTCCCTCATATTTACAGTAGTTTATAAGTTGAATCCATATGCTAAAATGGCTGTGTATATTTCAGTCACTATGTTGAAATTATCCTATAATATATCTTCTCTCATTGGCATCATTCCAACAAAATGCCAAGCTAGGCTAGCCAGTTGGTACAAACGGGACCAACAGAGCAAGGCAACTAATGGGATAAAATGTTACTTTCAATCTACAGTATTGTTCTTCACGTTGATTTATAGGGTATTAAAATTTTATTCCGAAATTAAATCTTTCTTAATGTATACTCTCATTCAAAACAAATATTCTGAGACACCCACAGATTAGAAGAACTATGACAAAATTTATAGGAAATACTCCCCTCCCCCCACTTCCCCTTGCTTACTGTATACCCAGAGTAGGGTACTACAACAGTATTTGTCAAGACTTCAACTGTGGCTTAGTGTTTAAGGTGCTTGCTTTTCTTTCTCCAGGCCTTAGGTTCAAATCCTGTGAGACCAAAATAATATATATTTTTTTTTAATTATTAAAATTTATATCACTAAACTTTGAACTTAGTTTATAAACATCATCAATTTATACTTTATATTTTTATATGAAATTGTTTACTTAATGTTGTTCTTCTTAATTCATGTTTTTTTTATCATGCATATTTCTACATACTTTGCTTCAATAATTAACTTTGTGTTCTCAATTAACATGCTACAGAAATTATCCTTTTTATATGGTAAAAATTGTATGTGGTACTGTAGTGTAATTTTTATTATTCAGATTTGGCTGCAAAATTGGATAAATATAAAAGAAATTTTCAATTAGATCTTTAAACCTATTAGAAAATTTTCTGAAAAAAAAAAAAAAAAAAAAAAAAAAAAAAAATTATAAAGTCTAAAGAATGTCTGTCAACTTTTCTTTAAAAAAAAGAACACATTTTATTTGGCCAAGCTTTTCTTTGGTTGAAGCAATTAAAGCGTTTTAGTGGATCTGTAAGGCAAGACATTTTTTATTCCTTGTTTCGCATACTTATTTAAAAAAAATTTATCAGAGGTTAAAATAATCTTAAAAATAAATTAGAAATCAATATTTGCAGTTGGCAGGTTCATTAAACATGGTTAAACAAGGTATAAAACAAGTCTTGTCTAAGGCATGACTTTTTTACACCTCGTTTAGCGACCCGCTGTCCATCAATAAAATCCTAAATAAAAAACAATTTTATTTTTGGCCAATTGGCACACCCGCTTCCACGAAAAATGGAAATTTAAGAAAAAAAAAAAAACTCTTTCCTTATTTTTATCAAGTCCACCGCTGCCTTGAAATCTTCTAACATACAGCAAGATATTTCTACCTAATTACATAAATTTTAAGCATTCAACCATCCCATTACTACAATGTCCACATTCACTAATAAAATTTCATTTTATTTTCTTCTCCGTCTGGATGTTTTAGGCAAAACTATGTTTTATAAGAAAACAAAATCTTGCTATTATTTTTTCTGTCCTCCTCGGACAATCTTTAAAAGATCGCGAACAAGATATAAAGAGTCTCGCCTAAACTGACCAAAGTTGAGGAATATAAAAAATATTAATGGATTGCAATGCTGGAAAAAAAATATTTAAAAGTATAAAAATAAGTGGCAGTAAAAATGGAATAGAGAAGCAGATGAGGTCATAAACAACTGTTATCTAAAAACACTTTTTTTTTAAAGACCATTCCATATTGCTCTCCAAATAATGTAGAAAAAGAAAAACCATGGTATAATAATTTTTTTACAATGTATTTACAAAATTATATTATCATTGTCAACTGTGTACATACAGTAGGCTAGCCTATGGAAACTATTGCCTAGGTCCTACGTTTGTGCACAAGAACAAAAGAATTGCTTTTGTATTATGAATTGAGTTTTAGTGTCACTTTGCTTGGAGTATAGAGACTGGTAGTAGCTTATAAATAAGTTACAATTGTAAACAGATCTTATCAAATCGTCCATTGCACTAGGTACTAGCCTAGGGATATTCATCAAACAAAACTTCTCAATCATCAACTACCCCTGGAAAACTTCGTTTATATTTCAGAAATACACCAAAAAAATTTAGTTTTTTTTAACCTCTGGATATACAAATGGAACTAACCCACAACTCCATCATCTGTATCTACAATCAGAATCAGATTTCCCTTTATAAAATAAAAAATATATGCCGAGGCAACAATTCGTAATGTCAAAAAGGCTAATGGCGACCGCCATCTTGGGCGCCATTTTGAAAACCGCCATGTTGGAAAATCGTAAACTTAGGAAAACAGAAACAAGACTATCTTACAAATAATTTGCGAAAAACTCTAAATAATGCAAGCGTGTTAGTGGTAAATTGTTTACTCACTGCTTAGGACTAATTATACCACAAAATATGTGACCTAACGACCCCAACGGCAATATAAACAGAGAATAGACGTTATACACAAACAACGGGCGCCGCCATGTTGAATTTCAGACAAATGCTGTTAAAATCTGATCTATAATGTTCACGACACCCAAAAGTGGACACTTAAAAACAATAAACAGTGTGATTGTCTGAGAACTAAGTGAGAAAATATATTTTGAACAAGAAAGTTAATTATTCCAAAAAGTTCATCCTCGGCATCAGATGACAACAAACCCGAGCCGCCATATTGTGTTGACGGACACCGCCAAAATTTTGAGCTTACCTGTGTTGTAAACGTGAAGTTCATCAACGATTCCTTCATTGCCACCACCGAAAACAACCATTAAATCTTTAATAGCAACAGCTCTGTGACCGTGGCGAGGCCTAGGACACGGCCCAGTCGTATTTGTTACCCTCTTCCACTTGAGTATGGGTGCCGCCATGTTGTTTCTTACCCACAATCACTGGGAGGGACGCGAAGGACCCGTATGGTGTAAACAATTCAATTATCCTCTTTCAATAATATTCTTAATAAATAAATACTACTTCATTCAAATTCAAAAATACTTTAACAAAAACTGCAGTATAAAATCTTATAATGTGAACAATGTACCTTCTTTCGATTTTATCAACGAGAGTAAGGAACAATTTTATACTTATTCTGGCTTGCCAAGAAAGGTAAATATCGACAGTGAAAAGTGAACAAATGTTGTCTATAGAGGTCGCTGTTTCACAATTTTTCAGTCAAATTAAACTCATTTTCCCTCCCTTGTGTGTTTATTATTTACCGTACTTGTCGCTTGTCCTTCGGGTTTTTTTTTTTGTTTCCTTTTACTAAAATAAATGTATTTTCGAAGTACAAAAAGAAAAAAATACAATACAATTGGATCGAGTGCAGTACAACACTAATCAGGCCTATTGACAACAAAAAAATATCTCCTCTTTCTGCTTTATTTAATTCATTGCCTCTCACAAAAGAACATCGCAAAACATCAAAACACAAAAAGAAACAAATGCAAAACACCGGGATCCTATGGTTGTCTTTAAATATTCTGACGGCTGTAAGTGCAAGAATGTTTCTACTGTCACTTGAAACTATAGATTTTAAAGGCTTGTATAAAATTTAGATTACGCTCCAATTTTATGATAATAATTATGGCATTTGTTCTATTTGTAGCTCTTATTCAATTTAAGATATTAGACATTTTCTTTTTTCATGTCCTTCCCTCCATAACATGTGACTATAAGTATGCAGTTTTGTATGGATATATGATGTAGGCCTACTTATGTATGTGTATTTCATGTACGTTTGTATGGTGTTTGTATAATTGTTCATGTGTTTGTTTGCATCACTTTATTTTGCCTTAAGTGTTTTAGTTTAAGATTGCTTTGAATTTTATTTTTTTTTACATGACTGAACAGTTTTTTTTTTACTTTTCCTTAATGTCCCTTTTGAAAATTTGAATTGTCTTTTTCTTAGCATAAGTCTATCTTTTGTGAACTTTACTGCACACTGTATTGTTTTGGACGCACTTTTCTATTGAGAAATGTGCCACTGATTGAAAAGTGTAGTTCCTAATAAATGATAATTATTTGAGTCAGTCTATTTCAAAAGACATAAAAGCCGAGTTTCCATAAAATTGCCGCACTCATGCCGCTGCAGTGTTGTTTTTTTTCACTGCAATCGCTACAATTAGGCTAGCTATCGAAATATTCGGTCTATTTCATAATATTTTAACAAATTTTTGTGTTCCGCAAGTCAACATTCAATGTTTGTTGTACAAGGTCTTTTCATTGTTTTTACATTTTACTTCACATGGAGCACACATGCAAATCCACTCTTCAAGATATAGAGATAAACTCTAAATCGTCTTGCGGTAATGCTACATATATTTCTGGATTAATTATGTTCAGAATGTTTACATTTACTACGCTATCCCATGGCATTTTAAATTTTAAAGACGCGGAATCTGCGAGTGTGAAAAAATAGGTGCTCCAGCCGGGACTCGAACACGGGACCTTCTGCTGTCTAGGCCTATATTAAATTATAAATACCGTACATATATATATAT